TCGTCAACAAACAGGCTGAAATAGGTCGTCACCAGCGAATAAATCAGGAGACCAGTGAGACAAAACATGGAACAACTCAAAGTGACAGTTATTAGATGCGGTGAGCTCGGAGTTTCCGGGCTGCCGAGAAAAACCCATTTCCACTTTCCCTCTTTATCTGCAGAGAAAAGCGGCACTGGAGCAAAGAAATAAACTGCTGATCGCCAGGGAAACATGCACACGCACACACACACACACACACACGCGCACAAGCACAAACTGCTGCGTTCACACACGAGTGTGCACTTGACAGATATTCAAATCCACGGCTCCGGATTAAGATGGCGCACGGCAATGAGGACGCATCCGATGCACGCAAACACACACATGGACGCGACAATGGGGCCTATTCACTGCGAGCGTGCCATTAGCGTGTGCGGTAATGGAAATGTATGTTGCATTTAACTAGCCTGCAGAAATCAGATAACTCCACTCAGCACATACTGAAGGCACTCAGGCGTCTGACAGCGGTTTAAAGTACGTGAGAAAGAGAAAGTGTGAGGATGTCGTGGGTTTTACGTTCTTCTCCTCCATCTCTGTTGTGTGTCCTCGCTCTGTCCTCCTCATCTCCTTCAGTCGCTCCCTCCTCCACTTTAAATGTCACTGTATTCTGCTTCTTTAATTAAGCCCACCACCAGAAATAGATTTTTTTTTTTTTTCTTTGCTCGCAGGGTTTTAGTCCCACTCAGTAACGCCCACATTTTACTCATCACCACCCAAACGTGAAACGCACACAGTGCAGCTGTGTTCTCTGCCTCTCTCTCTTCTGGTAAACCAGAGATGGAGACGTCCTCTTCCTCCTAACTGGACAAGCCGCTGACCTGCAGTCCACGAACGTGCCCGGGGGTCACTGTGGCTCTGGGGAGGCACAATGCGGCTGCCGGCCGGAGCGAGGCCGCGGCTGGAAGTGGAGCCGCTTATTTAGCAGACCCCCCCTGGCCGGCACAAAGGGAGGTGGGAGGAGGGGGGTGGGGGGGGACTACGCCCTCCTCCGCCACCAGCACGCCCAGACAGCCCCCCGATTGGCCAGCTGGATGACCTTTGATCCCCGTCGTATTGTGGTCTCAGCTGCAGCAGCCCTCCCCCTCTTGTGTGTGTGTGTGTGTGTGTGTGTGTGTGTTTACGGATGAGGGGGGGGGGGGTAATTGTGTTCCGGTTGTGATGCCTGAGTTGCAACAGTGATGCCTTGCTCCATCCAGCCCGATTCTAACCGTCCTCCCGCTGCAGTTCAAACCAAGCTTCCCTCAAAGACCAAGCTTAAGCTTTCCCTGTGGCCCCAAGATGGACAAAGTGCCCCAATATCAGTTTTAGACCGATTCAAGCCCAGGTCCCCCCCACCACATTATCCCCCGCGTGTCCCAACCAGCCATATAGCTTGAAACTAAACCTAATGCAGCTCAGGTTTCAGGCCAAATGAAACATTCCTCCGGCCACAGCTTTCAGCCAAACTCCAGCCACACCTCCGGACCAGCTCTGGCCTTCCCTTAGTCCCGGCTTTAGACAAAACAAGCCTTGATGTAGCTCAAGCTCAGACCAAGTGATCCTCAGTCCAAATGTAGTGGTTCAATAGAGTAAATCCTGAGCCAAACTAGGCCCTTCAGCCTGGACCAGGAGCAGTCTATGCAGGTGGTCTATAGTGGGCTGAGGCACCGTGAGCAGTGCACTCAGTCTCTTAATTCACCCCCATGTGACTCTAACTAGACCACCCCCCCCCCCTAACTGCATGACTGGCTGTCTGAGGAATGCCATGTCATGGAACAGATGGAGCTCCGCGAACAATAGAGCCGCGTGCATTTACGCGTGTGGATCACAGCGACAGTTTTGCCCCCGCGTGTTCTTATGAATCTTCAGGAAATGTGGGCGCCATCACATTAAGCTGCAGCACCACCCCTTTAAAATGACACGACCAGAGCGTCCAGAAGACGCCGTTAACCAGGCGGCGATGACGCAACGGAGAGAGAGAGACCCCGCGGAGAGGTGGAATTAGGGTCTTACGTATTCAAACTCAGCGGCGCGTGTTTCGGTGGCCACGCTGTCCTGGATTAAAACACATAACAAACCAGAAACACCGCAAAACGCATGAAACAATAACTACCCCCCCCCCAAAAAACACATCATTTCATTCCTACGACAAATAAAGACGCGGTCTACAATAATCTGTCCCATACAGGAGCATTATGAGGACCTATACATCATTTGCCTAGAAAGTTGCTTCCGATCTAAATGGCATTATTGGATTATTCCGGAATATGTATAAGACTGTATTCACATCCGAGTGCCGGTATAGTTTAGTAGGAGCCAATCCGGGTTTTGCTAGAATACTTGTTCCTCTTTATTTAACGCATTATGCATGTAACGGCTACCAAAGGCCATTTTCACGTTTCATTCATCTTCACGCATACATACACATACATACATACATACATACATGCATTCATACATACATACATGCATTCATACATTCATACATGCATTCATACATACATACATGCATTCATACATGCATTCATACATACATACATGGGCCCACTGGAGAGATCCATGTCCGCGAGCGCTGCAGTTACACCCAAACATTCAAATAAATGGACCCCCCCACTCCCCGACTCACGTGTTTTAAAGACTGGAGAGATGTAATGACATCGGAATAAACCCTCCAATGTGTCAGTAAATGCAGGGATGCCAGGTTGGACATTGGTTGGTGAGGAGGGGGTGAGGGGGTGGGGGGGGGGGGGTCAAGTGAACTCACCCAAGACAACGACGGATGATCGGCTCCCCGCTCCTCCTCTGGGTAAATCCAGGACCCCGGATTAACAAATTTATATAGATATATAAATATAGAACTATATGTCCTATTACGGGTCAGACGTGGTAAATGTCACCAAATCCTCTTCATCCGCGCGGTGGAAGCGATGTGGAGCCGCAACACACACACACACACACACACACATATATATATATATACAAAAATATATATAACACACGCACTTACACACAAGCGCGCAGTGCAAAAAGGAGCAGGTCTCCAGCAGCGCAGCGGGCGGCTCGGCTGCGGTTCGGGCTCCGTAGTACTCGCGGATGCGCCGCTGGTTGACTGTGCACTTACTGGGCTGCTTCCTGCGGCTCCGCCCGCTAACCAGCCTTCCCAGTGCGCCCATTGGCACAGGCGGCCGGACATGCAAATCCACTCTTCCCATTGATGCTTTTTCTCCCGAGAGAGGAAGAGGAGAAAAAAGAGAGGAGAAGGAGCGGGTCCCGGTTCTCCGCCGCTGCACTGCGCCACCGCGCGGTGATTCGGCGCCACTAGAATAACGGGTTCTGTGAGGAAATGCTTCTAGTTTGTAGATTCTAAGCTGCAATCAAAGTGTTACTCGAGTAAAAGCTCTTAAACTTGCAGAATGGTTCCATTTAAAAGTGTTATATACATTCTTTTTTTTACATGTGAGAGCATTCTAATGTCATAACCACTGGTACTGAGCAGGTTAGCAGTACTATTACAATAAGAATATCTTATTTTTCACATAAAAAATAACTAGTAACTGTCAGTAATCAGAAAAGGTTTATTGGCTTGGTGACTGGTGCAATAATAATATTAATAAAATAATAACAAATACTGCATCTTATGGAGGAGCTTTCGGGAATGTGGGGTAGAATGTCTCCAGCAAAGTGAATTACACTGGAAGTCCTGTAACAGAGTAAATGTACTTGGTCACATTCCGCCACACGTTGAACTGCACCAGGGAGCCGCTGCCTTGCCAAAGGGCGCTTTGTCGGGCTCCCATTGTGAGCCGGAGATCAGGTCCTCGGGGCGTCACAGGGAGCAGGGAAAGCTTTGCGCTGGTTAAATGCACTCTGTTGAATAATGGATGCTGAATAGAGGCAGCGTTTCGCCGCGCTATCACTTTACATTGAAGGTAGAAGTATAATAGAGTCATTTGCAGGATGATATTATACATAATGGAGCGTTTGAATGGTTCATATTTCATTAGCTTTTCAATTATATTCACTGTCAATTTTATTTCCCAATCTGAAGACCAAAGACTCACATTACGGATTTTTTTTAATGGAAGTCCACTTCCATTAAAACTAAAAGTCTCTGTGTTATATCTTTGATATTCAGACTTTACTGCACCGGGTTTAAAACTAGACAAACAGATCTTTGGATCTTTTGGAGCAGTTATGATCCATTATTAGTAGAGTATTTTGTTTACAACTTTCCTGACTAGGATCTTTTTTTGATTTAAAACAAACAGTAGCTACAGTACTCATGATTAATATTGCATTGATTCAGTCATTAAATAGGATGAAAATGTGAAAAGAAAACAAAATAAGGTTCCTAAAAGAGGGAACCCAAGTGGTCTCATTAGACAAAAAGTCCACTCAGATAATACAAAGAGCTGATGCCTGCTGGGCCGAGAGACTCACCAAACGCACATTAAACCTCACGTAAACACAAACATCTCAAGCCTTAATGAAAGCGCCGAGGCCAAAAAGAAAAAAGCGCTAATTCTCCTCCAGCCGACCGAAGCCAGCTGCTTCTCAAACTTTCCGTTGCACGAGCAGAATGCTCCTTTTCTCCCCCCGCCTCGACATGTGCTGCAGCTACAGACCGTGGCCCGATTCCCGAAAGGTCAGAAAAATAAACGGTGCGAGCCGTTTGCAGGAAGCAGAGGTGGGCCGCTAACAGGAAGCGCTAATGGAGATCCGGTAAAGAGGCTCCATCTTTCTCCATCAGTAATGTCTGTAATGGCTCGACTGAGGCCAAAAATAAATAGACCCGTCAATGGCACCACTGGCTCAATGTCACATTTTGTGAGGTAAACTTGTTTGTTGGTCGATACAAGGAGAGTGGACAACAAGGTCAGACGTGTCGATATTCAGCAAAGGGGTGTAAAAGTAAAACGGAACGATCGATGCAGCGAAGAAAGTCCTCGACTGACGCCTGCCAGTAAAGCTCAGAGGGACACATGGGAAAGGCTTTTTTTATTCCATTCAAATTGCAATGGAGGTTACAGCACTTATCGTAAAGACGGCATGAAAATGAGCCGAAGAAGAAATTGATTGAGTTTTATGCCAATAACTAGTTGCTGTGTTTCTATCATGCTTCACATGTAGGAGAACCTGCTAAGACAAAAGGAAAGAGCACTTAAAGATACACGTTTCTTCTGTCAACTGTGAGTATTAATAAACTTTACCCACTAAATATCTCTCCTGCCTTTAGAGCAACTGCACACAGAGCCGTAACATTTAGAGCTGAAATGTGACCATTGGGGCATTAAAATCAAACACGCACACAAACACTCACGCCAAATGATTTAAATAATCCCATCTTTGATTTGTGTCATATTTAAAATCGGTAATATAACCATCAGCATATATTTCCAGGGCCCATTTCACTTTCACAGTATCACGTTTCCCCGTCTGAGTCACTGGACTGAAGTCAAGGCAATGACCTCACGCCGAGCGACGCCCTATGACCTCACGCCGAGGTCAGTGATGTCGTACACGAAGGAGACGATGACAAACAGCCCGGAGCGATCTTCTTTGGAGCAAGTTGCCAGTAATATAACTGATGAAGTCTCAGTCTGATCTCCCCCCTTCCCCCCTACCCACACCCCCCCCGGTCTAAGCACTGGCCCGAGCGGCCTGCTCCTCCTGCCGCCGCTGGTTGTAGGCGTCGTACACGTCCATGAACATGTCCTTGCACGGTATGCGCGCCTTCAGCTTGGAGCAGATGAGGAAGGAGCCGGCCATCTTGCGGTGGAGGGAGTACGACTCCTCGGGCGGGGGGGTGAGGCGGTGGCGCAGCATGACGGGGAGGAGGCTCTGGACGCGCTGGGTGGTGCTCTGCGTGCCGAAGTCGAAAGGCTCCACGGAGGCGAAGGCTTCGCCGAGGATCATCACCGCCTCCACGTGGGCCTCCTCGAAGGCCTGGGGGGGAGGGGAGGGGGGCACAGAGAGGCGTTACAACGGCCGTTTGTGTGTGAGAGTAATAAATGAACTGAACCAATGTTTAAACAGCTGAGTAAAGTCAAAAAGAACAGTGAAGCAGATTTTGAGCTGTGCTTGGTGGTGGTTATGTGTTAAATGTGCTTTGTATCCACACACATTTTATTAAGTCGGATCATAAACTCTAGTAGATCTCGACTCTTTGCCGTCCCTGCTCCGAAATGGTGGAACGAGCTCTCTGAAGACACCAGGACCGCAGAGAGCCTTCACATCTTCCGCCTCAAACTAAAAGACTAACAAATTGTAGCACTTAAATTCTACTTCTAACGCCACTCATCTATAGCAAATTGTAAATTGGCTTATTTGAGGAAACTGCACTTATTGTAAGTCGCTTTGGATAAAAGCGTCAGCTAAATGACATGTAATGTAATAAAGAAATAGCGTTTTTTGGTGCATAACAAGCAGTTTTCTCCATATTTTACACACACTAGGGCTGGGCGCTGCACAATGCACTGAATGCAAAGTAGAGAGTTGGTGCAGGTAAAGAGAGTCAAAAATAAACAGGGAGGAAAAAACACATCAAAAATAAATGAGCACAGCAGAAGAGACCAAAATACTTTACCTTGGCCTCGAAACCTGTCAGGAATTTCAGATCCTTTGATTTGGAAAGAACGGTGGCTCGATCGCCCACGGAGGCCGCGTGCACCACCTGCGCACACAGACACAACGATGATATGGACGTTTATCATGTTTATTTAGGCAGGAAGAGAATGTGTGTGTGTGTGTGTTTTTGCCCCCAATGTTTTCTTTCTTCAAAGACATGTGGTGCATAAATCATGCTGTGTGCTGCCCTGCTGCCCTCTCCCTCGTACCTCTATGTAGTCGTCGGTGAACTTCTCCGGGTAGCCTCTGCACGCTCCGAAGTCCAGCAGGACCACCTGCACATGAGACGAGAGCGCCGTGTTCGGTACCGTTAAATACTTATCATACAAATCCTTCACGGCCTCACCCCCGCCGCGCTCCCCTCACCTTGTCCGTGTCTGAGTTGTAGAAGAAGTTGGACCAGTTGGGATCCGTCTGCATGAACCTGAACTCAAACACTTCCCTGAGGCACAGCTGGAGGATTCTGTAACAGATCTGGAGACGAGGCAAGAGGGATATTTAGTCCTGTGAAGTCTGCTCCAATCGGAGGGCTTCAGCCCTCATTGGGTCTCACAACTAGATTAGAATGTAAAGAGTCCTCCCATGAATAGATGACTCCCGTACCTGGTTCCTGGTCTCCTGGTCCAGGTCTACGCAGCGGTCCAGTGGGACTCCTTGTATCAGATCCATGGCCAGCACCCTGCTGCCCGACAGCTCATCAATCACCTCGGGGATCTGGAAGAGCTCATTTCCCTCCAGCATGGACCTGGAGGCCAGACATCATCAGTCAGTCCATTTTAACGAACCATGCATCGATGGGGTACGCCGGCAACAATAAGAGTTGGCTGTACCTCTCAGAAGAATATATAAATAATTAAAAAGAAGCACTAAGCGTTGCATATCTGGTGTTTTAATAAAATCAACAGAACAACCTGCAGCCAATGTGCTTTATAAAAGCAGTTCTGTGGCAGGAGCAAGTGTTTGTTGCGTATATAATTATAGAGTAACCATCCAGAAACTTTATAGCTAATTTGGTGTGGTTTCTATTCTGTGCGGTTAAACACCTCACTGGTGCGGTTCAGCGCCGGAGGTTTTACGGCTCAATAAACCCACCTGAACCTCTTGGCGGACTCGGCCTCCCTCTTGTAGTCGCACTCCCATGCCAGCTCCCTCTGAAGAACCTCCAAGCTGCTGTCTGCAAACAGGCCTGTGCACAAAGCAGCAGGGGAGAGGAAGGTTGTGATGGAGCGTAAGCCTCGTTGGATAACTATATAATAAACAGTCCGTTCTGTTATATAGTTGCATGCTTTTGGCAGACGCCACTTAATAACGATTGAGTTTAGAGCTGCAACAATAGCGCCACCCGGTGGGCCAATCTGAGACCTACGGGAAGTGATGGAATGAAAAGACCGGAGGGAACCAATGGGAGTATAACGTCCACCAGACTATTGACTAGTTTGAATTTATTTATTATATTATCATATCGGGGGCACAGATTAGATTAGAGTGGCGGGACGGATCAGCACAATAGAAAAAAGGGAGAAGATTTACCATTTAGAAATGTCCCGATACACACGCACAGTACAGTTTAAATGATAATCATTTCAATTTTGGGTTTTATGGAAACAACCACTAGAGATGACTCAAACAATGTAAGCTGTAGCTTTGAAAACCATCTGCTATAATAAACCTAAATGATTATAAAGCTGATACGGGTCATAACCCCCCTTTTTAATGAATATACAGTATTTAGTGCCTCTGGAAAAAAAAAAAAAGATTTACGTGACCTTCTCCAAAAAAACGTTACAACATTATTTTTGACCAGAACATCACCAATTACTAATGTGACTGAAAGGAACCCTTTTAACACCAATTTGTTTTTTGCAAAGTAACATCATCAGGGACGAGGGCTCTTTACCTCCCGGTAGGGCCACGCTCATCTTCAGCACCGTCATCAGGTTGTCTATGTCGCTGCTGATGCTGTCCGCCACTCCGGGGTACTGGGAGGCACATGTGAATGTCGGAGGAAAGTCGATGAAGACGAAGACTTCCGGGGGTCATCATCGGGGAGACACAAATGCAGACGCCGTGCGATTACCTGGATCTTCATGGCGACCTCCCTCCCGTCTTTTAACACCCCGTGATGCACCTGGCCGATGGACGCCGCGGCAAAGGGTCGGTCTTCGAAGGACGAGAGCTTCTCCCTCCAGCCGGGACCGAGTTCCTCCTCCAGAACTTTCTGCACAATCAGAGAAAATGTGTGAAACATCGAAGTCAAGCCGGCACGCAGCTAAATACTCAGAACCTTCATTTGCACAAGCTCATCTTTTCAGAAGCAAACACTGGTTCACGCTCGGGTTCTCTCTCACGCTTACGTTCATCTGCCAGGCCGGCATGAAGTCCGCGCTCTGCCGGACCCGCTCAAAGATCTTCTGCAGCTGGGGGTTGATGAAGGCGTTGTCTGGAGAAAGAACAATGGAGGGGTGGGGGGTGTCAAGAAAAGTTTTTATTTTTTTTAAAAACATCCCTCTTTTAAGCATCTTAACGCGCCGGTGGCGTGCGGGCACCTTGTATGCTGAACATCTGTCCGATCTTGAGCGCGGCCCCGCGGACTTTGCACAGCGTGTTGACTATTCTCTCGGCGTTGGCCTCCGACAGGAGAGGGGAGTCTAACAGCGCGCTGTCCTCTGCGAAGGCGGCGGGAGACACGGGATTATTAGCGGCGAACACCACATATTTCCAGACGAGAGCACTTTGTCTCCAGAAGGACTTTGTGTTGAAAAGCAAACTCCAGCTTGTAGCAGCCGGGCGTAAGAAAGCAGCGCGTGGAGACGAGGAGCAGCTGCTCCATCGTTAAACGCTGCTCCTTTAAAACACACATTAAAGCGTCTTCCACTTCTTGTTAGCGGCTGTGATTTAATGCCGGCTCCGACCAGCTGTCCGTCCGTCTGCCAGGTCGGGCCCCACCACAAGCTCTCTGGACAGGACGGGGAAATATCTTTACCTCCTTTTGGTTTTCCTCCCAACGACTGTTTAGCCACTTCCGCGATAGCACCAATCCCGAGGCCCACCGCCAGTCCTGTGGCACGGAGACAACGAGAGGAGAGTTTTTTTTTTTTATTAATTCAGGGCCGCTTGACAGATTGCGGGAGAGGAAGTGCCGACTGGACACACAGCTTCTCCTATTTTAGCAAAATCACATTTGATGCGATAAGCATCTGGGCGACGTCATAATGTTCATGATGGTTTAAACGTGACGCTTAAGTCCGAAGATATTTAAGTTGTAAGTAGTTTTGAACAAATCTGTGTATTTTGGGGTTTTCCTTTTGTTTGAATTCTTTAATCTCACTATGCATTGCGGTGTTGATATTTGCATTCACTGACTGAATTTTTTGCATAAAAGCTGCATTGCATCAAATAAATGTGCATGTAATGATTTCTGCCCTGTGGTTCATGTCTTGATGATGTCGTGTTTGTGTCGTCAGCAGAAAAATAATAAAACATTGTGGAGTCATTTGTCCCTTGATGATACGGTTTTATTCAAAGCTACACTGTGTAACTATTGCACCTTGTGCTCTTCATTTGACTGTATGCTTCGTAAGTTAAGACATTCTCTCCTTGAAGCTGTTAAAATACTGAATAAAATTGTTCTTACCCCCAAAATTAACCAGCCTGCTGATTCTTGTGGCGGGAACCTTTCTCTCTTTGGCCCGGTCACTCAGCTGAAGGAAAACATACTTCATCATTTAAAAAAAAAAAAGATGCACGAGTGCATTTTGAATAATTTCCAGAGCTGTTGTCCATTGTTGTTTATTAACTCTTTACTGCACTCCCTCAGGTAGTTTAATAATGACCATCTCCTTAATACAGGATGCGTAGCACAAGATATGAGCCTGTTCATCAAAACACAAAAGATTAGACACACAAATAAAGATTAAACAGAAATATTCTTTATTTACAGGCATGAACTGCCTCAGAGAATTAACATAATCTGCAAAAGCTCACATTGCCTTTTTTTAAGGTCAAAATTGCTGTGCTGGTGGAGTTCTCACACCAACCTTCTGTCTGACGGGTTTGACCAGGGCCTTCTTGGCCTCTCTAGCTTTCTTGATGTCGTCTGGGCTCAGTCTCGCCACCACCGCATCATGGAGGGACCTGGTCTGGTAGAAGTACCGCTGGAAGCCGGGGGTCGTGTGGAGGAAGCGAGCGCTCTGTCCCGGCCAGCCCGTCCCCGGCGACGGGGGGACTCCTGTGGTAGAAAGAGGAACCACAGTGCAACTCTTTCAAAGCCGTAGAGCATCAGCCCCGAAAACAAGACATTAAAATATTCTCAGCGCCACATACGTTTGCCGCCTGCGGTACACGTTACGTACCTGCAGCTCCAGCCTCCGTCTGGCTTTGCTCAGAGGGAAATTCAGACCCTGTGGCCCATTTGGCTGCTTCATCGGGGTCCACGTTCTCCCACCCCTCCGCGTCCGGGAAGACATCCTCCTTTGGTGACTGTTGGGGCAGCGGATTTAGCCGAATAATTACCAACTCAGGCAGCATCTAACATGTCATTTGTGTCCCCTATGAATGGATCAACCATTTAAGTACGCAGCAATATCAGAACACACATCGGAAGTCCCCAGGGCCCCGAGTGATGGATCCTCACCGCACTGCTGCCGCCACTGAAGTTGCTCACCAGTCCCTCCACCGCATCCTGAGCGACTTTGACCCCGGCCCCCATGGTGGAGTTGCAGGCCATTAATCGGAGCTGTTCTCCCTGGGTGCAAACCAGGGCTGAGCCCACTTTACCTGCCCCACGCAGCACCTGCAGGACCTCTGATAGCATCACTTTAAAAAAAAAAAAAGGGGAGATGGAGGAGGCGGGGTGGGGGAAGAGTGTTGACATTTAGATTATATTGAAAAAAGAAGACGACATCAGACAGACCCATCACCCTATACCACCCTCGTAAGTAGATGTTTGCAATGGCCCGCTTGTTAAAACGCTATTGAAAAGACATGTGCAAAGACTTGTGCGGAAAAACACAACGTTATATTCTGTTTTTCATAATGTTTAACCTTGGGTTCGATTGGCTACACATGAGTCAAGACATGCTAACGCGTCATAATCACGCGCCCCTACAACACGGTGCAGTCCAGCAGTCTCGCAAAACACAAATGTAAAAACACATTTACAGAATTAAGGGGAGCAATGACACATTTGGGGATACGTTCACGATCTTGTCGGCTAGCGTTAGCTGGTGAGTGGTCAGTGTCGACCATGATGTTTGGCGTCACTAGCTGCTAATGTTTATACAAACACACATACACGGGATATATTCTCCCATATGGAAAAAGACATGTATGGAACTAATGAAATAAAAATGCTTCTGTTTGCAAACGAAGTGACTCACTTTTTCTGAAGCTGCGTTATCCAGGTTTTCTTTTCGACTGTCCAAAGTTACAACCTAAGACTGTTTTGCAACAGATTTCACGACCGGAAGTTAATGTTTGATTGACTCGACTGGTGACCAACCACAAGCCGGGCTTTAACAAGAAGGCTAAACTCCAACGTGAACGGAGGAGTGGTTAATTCTGTCAACCAGTAGGAGGGCAGAACACTACATGCGGGGCAGATGCTCGGCCAATAACAGTCCAGATGGGGCGGGATTTAAATTGAACAACGTCGAATAAGAATTATGGGATTTTTTTTAACAAAATCCACGTGTAGTGTTTCACAACTTGACAATAAGAAACAGTGTAAAATGCTGACACGAAAACTAAACGATAGGAGGTTAAAAAACAGAAGATAGAGGACAAAAAACAAGCATGTCAAATAATGAAATTCAATACATTGATAATACATTTAAAATATGCATATATGTTACACATTAATTAATTACCTACAAATGTTACTCAACACATTCCGTACAATTTTATCGTCTCTTTGACAGAACAGATTTTAATAGATTTTGTTTTGCTTTTATGAAAATATTGATCAAAAGTGTACAACTTCACTTTCCATTAAATCATTTGGAAAGAATAATCAACAGTATGATGCATGCCGGGCGGCACGGTGGTGGTGGTCAGCACTGTCGCCTCACAACAAGAAGGTCCTGCTATTAGCTGGCGACCAATCCAAGGTGTACCCTGTCTGTCGCCCGAAGTTGGCTGGGATAGACTCCTGCCCCCCTGTGACCCTGTGTGCAGGATAAGTGGTTTGCGGATGGATGGATGCCTTTTCCACAAATTGTCTTTCATATTGCGGATGGATGGACGCCTTTTCTTTCATATTAATAAAAATGTCTTGTTTGGAAAAGAATGCATCTATACAAAAAAACGATAATTCAATTTGAACACTAAGCACACATGTTCCTCCATCATGACCTATCTATATATTACCTTTAATAGGTGTTTAGGTATTTTGGGTGTGTGTACATTTGTCTTTGTTTGTTTTCTAACACACAGCAACCGAACACTTTTCAAAGAGAAGACAAAACTTTTATAATCCCTGTTGGCAAACAAGGGCCCGCAAATAAAAAACCAAGAGTAGAAAGTGTATATCGATTTGACAAAGGAGTGTTAATATTAGTATAAAACAATATTAAAGTGAATAGGAAATGGTGAATTTACACAGCCAAAAGGCAAATGAGCAAATATGGAATGTGTAGAAAATACATTATAGCTGCTGAAATTGTATTGTATACAAACATTGTTTGTATGTAATAAATGGAGGGTTATTCTCAGACAGCATTGTGTCCATAGTGTTATAATATTAATAGTGTAGTATCATTGTAAACATGCATGCTAGGTGTATTTTGATTTTCCCACCTGTCTTTGACACAGTAACCTTTTATTGTAGGGATATGTATTGTGTGAGTGGGGGGCTGGAGGAGGCAGCAGGGGGAGGGCGCTGTGCTGACGCCATATATGGGCACACCACCGACTCTGCGCTGCTATTGGCTGCGGGCCTTATGCAGCTGCTTGTCAACAAGATGGCCTTCCTCCTCCTGCCGTTTTGACACTGAGTATTTTGGTATCCCCGAGAACATACCGTAAAAAGCCCGTGTCACTTCTAAATAGATAGCGGGACAGCGGTCGCCCAGAGACCTAACAAGGCCCCCGGTCCGCCACGCTGTGTCCGGAGAGCTGACAAGGGGCGCAGGAGCCTCCACAGCCGCCGTCCCCGCAGCAGCGTTTCGATCCTACGGGGTAGCTAGCTGCTGCTAATGTCGACCCTTAGCCAGCCAGCCAGCCAGCCAGCTAGCTAGCTAGCTTAGCTACGTGGACACGGATAGTTAACTCGTGTCACCTGCATTTCACCAGACAAACTGATTATTGGGTTGGAGGGAAATACTACGAGGAGACACTTGGCATCGACCCGTCCACAAGTCAACAAGGCTGTTTGTGGAAAGCAAAGCTTTCCAGGTGAGTGACGTTGGGTTAGCTAAACGGAAGAGCTTTTAAAAATATATATCGTTAGCTTGGGAGCTAGCCCTGTCATGTTATTATGCAGGTAAGTTGTGCTAACCAGTTAGCAAGCTCGCCATATAGTGACGGCTCTATTTACTGTGTGCAACAGCCCATCAATGACCCAATAAAGTGGTCGAAGAGTTGATTGGCGTCTAGTTTTTGTTAAAGATAATTATGATGCAAAACGTACTCGTTCCTACTTAACTGGACGCTAAACACTGCATTAGGCTAACTGTTTGCTAGTTGGGTAACTAGCTCGTGCTTGATCAGAGACGTTCCATCACATTCAAATGTGACTTAGAATTACACTTAATAAACGTGGTAGTGTTTGGGTATGTGGCGTGTTTGTGACGCAAATCTTGTTGGTTGTACTGGGAAAGTTGCTTTCGGATCAACCGGTGTTGTGGGATTATAATTGGAGTAATGGCTAAGTTATCTGCAGGCCTTCGTTTTCGACCAAGACATTTAATTTTAGAGTGGACAACATGTTTTGAGGGCCACAGTATTACGTGTTATGCATTATGCATATGTGAACAAACTAGTTTATTGTATTGCAACAACGCAGCATTAGTCACGAGGAGATGTCGGCAAGTGGTTGAGCAAAGCTCATCGTATCTACATTAAATCTGCTTTTTGGATGGTGGCATTAGATCTCCCGTCGCTATCGCAGTACAATGTACGTGATCGGTTTCATAGGGTGTGAACTTCAGTAGTCCGTCTCCACACGCACTGCTATCTGGTGTGATGTTGTTAACGCATGACTTCCTTGCAGATGCTCAGGTGTGATGGGGTCGACACAGTGGCCTTTGTCATTGTAGAATCAAAGTCTTACTCCTGAAGAACAGCAGAAACAAACAGGGAGACAGCATTGCAGGCCAGCCGTCGCCTCTTCCCAGGTGTCCCACCGCTGTGATGAAGTGCCTGAGAGCACTGGAGTGATCCACGCAGCTCTTCATTTTTTGTTCTGTTGACGGTTTGCGGCCCAGCTGGCCTGCCGGCTGCCCTTCTGTGGCATTGTCTTCGCCCCCAAACACACATAGAGGGAGAGTGAGCTGAGACGTTTTGGCATGCTTCTGAATCATCCTTCGTCGGCTTGTTGGCCGTCCGGCTGAGATGCTGTGACGGAGAAGAGGGCAGGAGAGCTGCGGGATAGTGCGCTGCGGCCGAGCTGGATGGGTGGCGTGTTTTTTTTAGCATGTGTTTTGAGCTGATCGGTTAAAGGTAAATCAACCACAAATCTTTAACCAACAAGCTTCAAATGGGTGCTTCTCTTCCTGATCTGTCTTGTTAAATCTTAAATTAGCTTTTAATGGGGATGTGGTACATTATGTTCTGAACTGCGGGCCCATAGTGAAACCATTATCCTGGTGAGAGTGCTTGCCAAACTGCTTTTGATTTGTTTATGGAAATTACCCACCCAAAGAGGAATCCAGTTTAAACGTAATGGGACAAACCTCAAAGTCTCCTCATGAAAATAGGTGGATCGCAGTTTGTGAAGTGATCAGTACCTACATTTGTATGTATTGCATTGTATTTCTATGCAGTGAATGTGTGGATTTGGACTGCAGCAGTAATCCACAAGAATTTCCCTCTGACAGAACAGTGAGTTAGTCATTTCTGTATGAACCTTTTTGCAATGTTTTCTTAAGACTTAATCAGAATCTTCCAGTCAGAGGATGATGGATGTGTTTAAATGAACTGAGAGGTGGTGTGTCTGGTATACTTGACACTGCTCATCTTTCCTTTTAAACCAATTGATTCACAGCGTGATTAGACTTATTTAATCTAGCTTCTTTTATAAAACCGTAGTGGCAGCGTCTTTGAATCCCGTGCTTCTGTAGCTGGTGGAATCCAAGTTTATATGTCCTAACTGCTGCCTGTTTTTACGCCCACCCAGTTCAATATGTATAAAAAAAATAGTCATCTGTTTTAAAAAATGCATATATTCTCATCTGACTGTCAATTTGTCTGACAGCTTGGGTACCTAGCGATAGCAATCCTTGGCACTGTGGGGTCGCTGGCTGCCACTGTACTGTAGGATTTGAAGGATTATGGTTGATGCAGAAAGCTTAAGACCAAACCCAAGCCTTCATTGGCAGAAATGTTTTGAATTAAGAGGGAAAAAGAAGTTAAGATAGCTCAGGACCAACTTAAACCGACTGCGGGGTGTAGGAGTACAGGAATGAAACTCTGTGAGAAAGTCAGCAAAACATTCTGTTTGTATTCAGTTGTTTGTTTACCATTTCGGTTTCTGATGACAGCAGCTGTCGGGCCGAGGGGTCATAGTTGGCATTGTTTCTATTGACTTGAGGCATATTGCAGAAAGCTGCTTTTCCGAGACGACGATGCAGCCCTGCCCAGAGAAGCTCGGGTGATGTCACTGTGGCAGGGATTTTAAGATGTCCTCATCGGGTCTGTGATCGCTCTTAATTGTTGTTGGTTAAGCCGATGAGACGATGGTGCGGCCATTGATTGAAACTGATTTTGTCTTTTTACAGTCAGGGACTTTGCGCTTCACCGTGGTTGTTCTGAATGTTCTCGTGGGGTCTGCGAATCACCGTCATCTGACTGCAGAAACCAAACAATATGGCTGCAGTTAAATTGTGTGTGTGTGTGTGTGTGTGTGTGTGTGAGACGTACTGAAGCGCTGCAGTGGGCAGACAGTCGCTCTCCGTGCCTCTCTTATAATACCCTCCAATCTGTTGTGAGTGATGGATTGCATGATGCGGCGAGAGGGAGGAAGGCGAGGGGGTGAGGAGTGGATGGAGAGGAGAACGTGGGTAAAGCGAGTCATGAGGGAACACGGAGAGACGGGGCAGTAACAGAGGTTCACCAGCAGCAGTATAATCTGCCTGCTCTTAGCTCAGTTGTTGCTGTGTGATTTGCAGAGGAAGCGTTTGAATTGGGGTGTGTGTGTGTGTGTGTTTGCACCTCTCTGAGCCATTCCATTAGTCTGAATGCACAAAGCACCGCCCATTTCGCCTGTGAGGCAGAGAAGCACAACAATGGCCTGTTTTTAAAGGCCGTGGATTGAAGGACTGCGGTGGCTACAATATAAAGGGACGAGTGTGTTGTTTCAATAGAGAAACTCATTTTAAACCAATGTATTCACCTTTTTGTCGTAGAATAAGCTGTTTAATTAACTTTGTTTTGTGTAACAGGATTGTTTTGGTAGAGCGAGTCCTGCAAAAGCAGCTTTTATTGACTCTAAAACACACCCTGCTCCTCTCCAGCTGCAACACCTGGGAATGTTTGTGTGAAGCCAATTAAACGTTTGGCTCAAGGTATATCAAGCTGAGCCAGTCGGTTGGTTACCTGCCAAGAACGAAGTGGCTGCCACGCCTCAACATATAGGAGGCAATCTGACAAAATGAACACTGCTGGGAGGACATGTTACTAGAAAATGAATTTCACCCCAAAGCCGACTGCATATAAGATCAAAAATAAGTAACTGAACAGTGACATTCTTGGGCCTTTGCACTGCTGCACAACTATCTGGTCAAAATAATGTTAAATATATTTACTACAATAACACTATTCTAACGTGTGTTCATCTTTGGTCTTTATGTCGCGCTTGTCGACATACAGTCTGACACCAAACAAAAGATATCCAATTGCTTTTTGCGGACGGGGGAGTTGTACATGATCTATATTGAGCTACTTGAGGCGGAGTGGCTTGTGGCGTTAAGGCCGCCCGTCATACCGGTTTCAAATTTCCTCACGGTATGAATTTTTCACACACCGTCTTAACAACTGTTGTTCTTCGGCAGGCAGCGGAATATATTGTTCTCATGGTCAGGGGCGACAACGAGGGGCAAACCCAAAGAGCTGGCAGAGCTGTGCCGAAGCATGCTGGTTAGGCTAAATGCCCCCCCCCCCCCTCCCCACGCAGGACAGCTAGGCAGTTCCACTACTACCCACCCCCTCCTTCTGTCTGCTAAAAATAGATCCAGCATATGCCCGCGTGCTCCTCCCTGTGTTGCCTCCCATTAAGCAAGTCCTCTTTGAAGCACTGAGATGCAGGAGAGGGGGGAGGGTGGGGGGGTCCATTTGGAGCTTTAGTGTTCCATCTCTCATCCCTTTTATCTGCGGGCCGCAGACACCGAAACCTGAAATGGAATCCCTTTAATTTAATGTAGGCTCCAAAGTGGGGAGACGATCATAGCGCACAGTAGCAAATGTAATTACTAATTGAGTTTGGACAAAGTAGGAGGCAGACCAGTTGTGATAAGTTCATCTAGTAGAACGATGACAGTTTTCTGTATACTCCAGTGTCATCGCGGGGGCTATAGATACCAACGCCCTCTTTGAATGGCGCCTCCAGGCTACGGCTCAATACAGCCCCAATTGGTCATCGATTATCTGAACCGATCCCGGCACCGACGGGCAATGTTCCTCTAAAAAAATACAAACTGTGTTTTCACTGGGCCGTTTCTCCCGACCCGCACCCCACCCCTTCCTCTTATCTGTCCTCTTGATGCAGGTTGCATGCCCAGTGTTGCCGGCGGCCTCGGTGACGGGACTGTGCCCGTCAGGTCGGCACCGGGACAGGGAGCTGAGAATGAGAGCCTTGGCTCCGGGGGTCTGCTGGCCAGCATAGATGCCGATATGCCCCGGTGGTCCGCATCCTGATGGACCGAGACACCTTCTCCCACATCCGCCTGTGGTGCCCGCGCCCCTTTGGCACCTACTCCCAGAACAAAGCCAGGAGCCCAGGCTCGGGGGGCAGCGGCGGCGGCGGCGGCGGTGGCGGGTCGGGGTCCTCCTCCCTCTGCAAGGCTGAGGCCTCGCCAGGCGCCCGAAGGACGGTGGATGGAAGTGAAGATGGCGGGATGATAGTGGGTGTGCAGGAGGAAAATGCAGAAGGGGAGGATGCAGGCTCGGAGAACACTCCACCCGAGCTCGCCCAAAGCTCTCAGAGCCACGCCCCTCCACCTTCATCAGCACCTCCCTCAACACCGTCTACGGGGTCCCAGGTGGAAGATGGCCGCGTACTGTTGGACACCTGGTACGTCATTAAACCGGGAAACACCAAGGAGAAGATCGCCTTCTTTGTCGCACACCAGTTCAGCGGAGCAGGCCAGCCTCGACCCAGCGCCATGAAGGTAAAGAGCTGACGCTAAATTCGCTTTTTTGTTGCCTTAATCTGGGTCTTTTAAAGAAAAAATAAATTCATTATTTCCCTTTTTCCAAAGGTCAAAGGTAACTGGGCAACTGACTGCAGTAAAGCCAAAAGACGGAGACGCTGCTCATCCTATGACCCTCCAACTCGCTCCCAGGCCTCTGAGCAGAACCTCACCCACGACTCCTCACTCGCGCCTCTCTGCTCCGAGGAGCCCCCTCTAGGCGGGGTGAATGAGACGGACCTGCTGTCGGTGGCGGAGATGGTCGCCCTGGTCGAGCAGAGGACCGCCATGGCCCTCCAGGGAATCGTGGCGGTTCACGGGAATCAACACCACCTCGAGGGCCCGAATACCACGGACAGCCAGGGCCTTACCCAGCACCAGCACACCCTTCTCCGGAGCACGGTGTCGGACCCCACTCCCATCACGTTTCTGTCGGACAGTTCCAACGGCCATCCCTCCAAAGTGGCCCGGGAGCCATCGTCTCCTATCCAGACGGACCAGGAGCTTGAGGAGCAGCAGGAGTCCTTGAGGGTAGCCCAGGCCATAGCGCACTTTGAGTCCCAGAACCAGGGGAATCGCTTCCACCTGGGCGCCGGTCCTGTAACAGACTCTCCCAATCGAGAAGGAGAAAAGGAGCGTAGGAGAGGTGGGGAGTCCGGCATCGCGGCGCCTCCTCCGCCCCCCAGCCACAGCCACGGGGAGGTTAGAATAGCTTTCCGGGTGTCCAATCTGGATCCACGTTCCCAGCTGGAGCCAGCCGGCCGGTCCCGCTGTATGTTCATGAGCTGTGGCGGCGGAGGCAACCAGGCGGCGGCCCGGGCCAAAGAGAAAATCACCTGTGACCTCTACCAGCTAGTCAGCCCCTCGTCTAGAGACCCCGGCAGTCTGCTGCTCGCCGCCACAACTGCTGCCCCAAAGCCGGATGGAGACCTCCATCACCCGGACAGGCAGGCCTGCGGCACCCCGGACCCCACCCAGGAGGAGAAGAAGGCCGCGGGGAGGGAGCGAGTGACCGGCTTCCACGTGGAGGTGGTGGTGACCGGCGCCGTCGATCAATGTGTGTTTTACGGAAAGGACAGTACGGAGAATGTGCAGGAGGAGACGGTGTGCTTCGCTATGACCAGTGGAGGAGGAGGAGGAGGAGGCGGGGGGGGTGTAGGCAGCTCTAGTGACCCTTCAGCCGATGATCCTCCCCCCGGACAACTCTTCTTCCTCCAGCCCCCGCGGGGCCCGGAGGAGGAGGCAAAAGGAACGGGCCCCGGCAGCGGGTCCGGCATCTGCTCTTTGGACTGCGCCAACAACAACGGCCCCGGGTCGGGCGCGGCGGTGAGCTCGGGGGAGCGGGGGAGCCGACCGGACTCTCCCGGCGTTGGCGAGGACTGCTCGGACCCGTCGCTGTGTCGCCTCTACTCGCCACGTGTCTCACGACTTTCTGGAGATCCGCTTCCAGATCCAGCGGCTTCTTCGAGCTGCGGCAGTACATGCTGCTGCTGTCCGACCACATCATGGTCAACATCTTCGGCTACCTGCCGACGCGCTCGCTGGCCGCTCTCAAATGCACCTGCTACTACTTCAAGGCGCTGATCGAGACGTACGGGGTGCGGCCGGTGGACTCTCCGCTGGAACCAAGACTCTCTCTACAGGGACGACCCCTGCAAGCAGTGCAAGCGGCAGTACGAGGCGCGGCGACGTCTCGCTGTGCCGCTGCCACCCCAAAACCTTACCCCCAGCCTTTACTTTTCGACGCTCTTACTGATTGGTGCGCCCGGCGCACCGACAAGAACACGCCGGGCTGCCCGCGTCGTTCTCACAGACAACAAATGGGGTCCCGACAGCCCGCGGAGGTTTTACACCTTTCGCGCCAAAGAGGGAGCACAGGAGGGAGGAGCCCAGTTAGAGGGGGAGGAGAAAAAAATTCTTCACGGACTTCGTTCTTGCTCCCTCCTTTTTCAAGGGGCCCAATGGGGGGGGGGGGGGGGGGGGCGAGGGCGAGCACTCTCGGGCCGTTTGCTTTTGTCTTTGCTCCAGCACTCCTTTCTCGTACGTTTCCCCCCCCCCCGTGTGAAGGGAAGTTGAGAGGTAAAGTAGGAAGAGAGGTGTGTCACTCTCCTTGCCTTTTTTTCTGTTTTTTCAAAGCCCTCCAGGATCCCCCCCCCCCTCTGCACACTGTGCTCCAGAGTGGCACCTTTTTAAACATTTGCATACCAGGGTTGGGGTCCCCTCCCGCGGTCGGCCCTGCCTCTTACTCCAAAAAAAACTCCACCCAAGGCTGTTGGGTGGTTCATGTGAGAACTTTGCAGTGTGTGTTTGGTCGAGCACTCGTAGAAGAAGATGGCGCCTAGAAATGTATCGCCCTTCGAGCCTGCTCACCGCTCCCAGTACTTGTTCCGTGTCATATCACAAACTTCCATGTCTGCTGTACAATGGTGCTTCGGGGAACGAGCCGTACCAACAGATTTAAAAGATTTATTTAGGTTTTTTTTTTTCAGTGGTGGAATGTTCAGCGTCGCTATAGAAATGTGATTGTATAAAGCAAACTTGACTTTCCGTTGTACAAGATGCCATTTGTACCTGTCCGGCGCCATGCGTTTCTCTCTCTCTGAATGTGCTGTAACGTAAACTATGTTGATTAGTCCCCTGATGATGCTGCTGAAATCATTGCCTGTGTCGCTGACGTTTTTAGTTCTGAGAAAGGCCATGGCGTTGGTGAACGGCGGGCGCCCCCTCATACTCGCCGGCGTCTCTGGCCGGTGAGATCCGCTCTTGTTGTTGTTGTTGTTGTTGTTGTTGTTTTCAGAGTGGACCCCGACCTTGCTGACCAGCCATAAAAATTAAAAGAGGAGCCGCTGAGTACTTTCTGGTTTACAGAGAACGATGGGAGACTTTATTGATTTAAGACCAGTGGGATTGAATGGGATTTAAAAAGAGAAACTTGATGTCACTTTGGAAAGGCCTGATGTCACTTTGTATGGTTTGATTGAAATGCTTGTTTGCCATTTGTTTTTGTTTTTGTTTTATTGGGGTGTGTGTGTCAGAATGTTTGCTATTGTATTTGCTTTTATTCTTGAGGACTGTGTTCTCCCCGGTATCAGTCTGTCATCCTACTCCACCTGCAAAGATGTATTTGTTTTTTTTTAATACTCCCATCTTTGTTTTAAACCCCGCCCCTCCTCAGCTCTCCCTCCCCCCATGATTGGGCAGAAGGCCGGTGTGTTGTGCCGAAGCTGTCAGTCATGCTTCGAAGCGGGTGAAACCGACTACCACAGAAACTCTACACCAGCTTCCCGCCTTAAAAGCCCCCTACCTCTACAACACCCCCCCCCTCCCCCTCAGATGCCTCACACATGATCAAGAGTTGCACAGGACCTTGTAGGTGGCTGGATTTCAGAATGCTCGATGAGATTCCATCCAACTCCGTGGGAGTGTTAGATGAACATGAACAGTGCCTGCTGACGGCTCCGACTCTTTATTTTAGGAAAAACCTTCCCCCCCCCACCCCCCCGCAAGCCGACAGACTGGACGTTAAAGAGCTGATGTGATGAATGATGCTGAAACTCTGCATGGAGGTGTGAAGATAATTGGGTATTCATGGGAGAACTCTGTAGGTTCCAGACATGTACAATGCTAATGGAAAATATCTGCTTAAATAAAAAAAGAAGTGATGATTAAAACTGGAAATCTGAATCGCTACCTGGTTTGTGTGGTGTGTAATAAGATACTGATCGTCACTGACTGATTTAATCATTTGGCTCCCACAATAACGCTTATCAGAGATAAAAACAAGTCATTTTATAAGCGCTAACCACCAAATACCTTGTGATGACCTGTGATGTAATTATCCCCGATGAAATAACCAAGCACTGTTCTTTGTAGACTTTATTCAACGCCTTATCTGTGTTTTACGAAGTGACTCATTGATTTTTTTGAGCCAAAGAAAAGGCTTTGAAAACCAATCTTGGGGCAACTTGATTCTTTTATTGTGTCTTCTCACTTTTTTTTCTTTCTCAGTCTCGGAAGCGGCCGCACATTGAATCAACGTGTAACCGTATACAGTAACGTCAGGGTAAGCTGCTCTACAGACGCTCATTTTCACGTCATCGTGACGTCCGAGGGATCAAGCGTAGTAACCCCACATGAACACCGCCGCGGCCATCATGATGAGCGCGTTGGCGTCCACCACGTGCCTCCACGCCGGCTCCTCGCCGATGTCGGGCAGCTTCTCCGGTGCCTCGGGCGGCGGGGCTTCCTCGTGTGCCTGGGAGCTGCCACAAAGCCGACCGACACAAGACGCTTCGGCCGCTGGCGGGAAGAGGGAGGGGTCATTGGTGTCTCTCTTCTCCGTGACTGATGTCACCTGTTTTCATTTGTTCCTTACCAGAGTCCTTGCTCTCCCTCCGCCGCTCCTCCGCCTCCCTCCGGGCTCTTCTCCCTTTCTCCTCCTGCTCCCAGTCCAAATCCACCCTCTCCTCTTTGGAGTGACGCAGGCTGAACACCAGCCGGTGGAGCTGAGAAGGAAAAAACGGTTCACGAATGAAGTTTTTCCAGGGCTCTCAGACCGGTTTCACGCGCACGTGAACGCTGTTGTCTTGATGTTTGTCACACAAACTGCATGCGAGTCACTCACGTGTTCGTCCTCTATGGGCCGGCTGCAGCAGCTGACCACCAGCACCAGCACGGAGGTGCAGAAGAAGAGTATGATGGCGAAGTGGAGGTAGTGGATGCCGCACACCAGGAACGGGGCAGGTGGACGGGAAGACGCAGCTGCCAGAACCGAACCAGACTCGGGGCAACATGCGGCACAGACCCATCACAGGCCGCTATCAGGCCCCAGAACGCACCCTGGAGGGGTCAGGTGGGGGGGGGAAGCAATCAAGTTGTGTCCACTGGATGATCTACTATGATGATGCGCACCATCGCACCTGTTCATTGACCCTCTTGACAAACACAGCCAGGAAGAAGACGGAGGCGATGGGCGGAGCCAGATAGCTCGACACCGACTGGATGTAATCGAACAGCTGGCCGCTCTGAGCCGCCTGCACCACCGGGATCCAGCAGATACTGACGCACACGATGATCAGAACCCAGACCCTGAAGGGGAGGCCGCAAACCATAGAAGAAGAAAGTTATGGCCGCGTCACCGCCTCGTGCACTTCGGAATGTGCATAGTAAATGTTTCAAATGATCCTCTGACCTTCACGTGGGTGTTTCCAGCGCCCTATTAAAGCACTGCCGTGTGGGTTTGGCTGTAGGATGAACTTTACTTACCGGCCCACGATGAGGAGCTCGCGCTCGGCGGCCTGTGGCCTGATGCGGGTCCAGATGTCCAGTGTGAACAGCGTGCTGCTGCTGTTAAAGATGGAGGCCAAAGACGACATGAGGGCGGCCAACATCACAGCCAGCATCAGACCTCGCAGACCTGCACGCAGAGGAAGAAGAAGAGGAGGATGGAGAGGAAAGCGAAGGAAAGGAAGACGACCGATGAATAAAATCGAAGTTGAGAAGTGGAAGGTAATAGTGATGTTACCGTTTGGCATGATGGACACCACCAGCTTGGGATAGGCGATGTTGGAGCAGCCGACCTCAGTCCCACACACCCTCTTACACACCTCGGGCACAACACAGCCGACCTCATCTATAGGTGGGACACACACACACACACACACACACAGGTTTGTTGCTATGCCCGTTAGCTCCATGCTGCAGAGGAAGTGTGGACTCTGACCTGGGTAGAGGACCCTGCTGATCATGCCGGGGAACACCATGAGGAACATGGGCAGCAGCTTGAGGTAGCCACACATGATGCAGCCGGCCTTCACGTGCGTCAGGTTGCGAGCCGCGAGGCACCGCTGCACGATGACCTGGGGGACAACGAGACGGGACGTTCTGTGCCGAGAACAGATCGGTTTGAGCTCCATCCAGTATTGTAACCAAGACGCTGTTCGTCACTCTGCTGCCTATGTGGTGCTTCTTTTTTAAAGTTGTGCAAGAATGCGATGACAGACACACGTGGAAATAATCATTTCTTTACGCAGTTTGGTCCTCCGTGTCGTCTTCATTCATTTTTTAAATGTGAAAGAAAGCACATTTATGCGGTGACTTATGTCAGATGTTCAAAAAGTCTGATTCTGCTCTACATTAAATCTTAACCAAAAGTTTATACTGTAGTCCCAGGATGTGGGCGGGACGTTCACCTGGTCTGTGCACCAGTACCAGCCTCCCACTATGGCGATGCCAAAAAGCACGCCGGGCCAGGGCAGGTCCCCGGTGGTCGGGTCCCTCAGCAGGTTGAAGGCGTCCTGTCTTGGGGTGTAGCAGCTGGGGGAGATGTTGTAGCGCTGGGGCTCCGTGGAGGAGAAATTACTGGGCGTAGCGGCGCTGTATTTGGCCAGCAGAGCGCTGTAGCCTCCTACTTTAGCGAAAGCTAGAAGAGAGAGAAGAGAGTTCGAAGCTTTTTCTCATCTGAGACGGGTCAGTTTGGACTAAATTTACTACTTTATGTTCATGTCGCAGCACTTTCTAACTGACCATATCAACGCGTTAACACAGCAGTAAGTCAAACGCATCGTCGGGTCAGAGGTCACGTTTCCTTCTCGTTCTCCTTTTGTCAGTCATGTGAATACTGTATGTATGAAACAATTAAAGTTGCAGTCTGTGGCTCTGCTGCGTCAGTGGAATGAATGATTACCGGAGTGCTGTCAATCAGTAGCGAAGCCGATGAGGAAGGACGCGGCTTTCACGCCTGGACAGACCGACGCGCCGCGACAACTCAAATACACGAAAGAACGCACAAAGCGAACAAACGGGATCAAAAATTGGTTGGGGACATCCGGAAGGATTCAGCCAAACAACTTCTCTCGTTCTGGTAGATTTATTTGTCAGATCACTGGTCAAGTATCAGCGCTGCGTTTGCAAAGGCAGGAGCAGTTCTGTCGGCTTCGCGGGCCGGAAGAACAACCAAGAACATTATGTTTTAGATTTTTTTTGTTAGATATAAACGAATGATTTCTATTGGCCCCAAACTGGCGTTGAGGAGGAGCCGGTCCTCTCGCCGCAACGTGCCGTCTCCTAACACGATGTGAACAAAGCGCGCGTGCTGTGTGGTGCTTGGTGTGTCTCTAAATCTCATCCTTATCAGACCTTGGACTCCTCAAGACAGTGACTCCCTGAATGAGCACTGGGGAAACGTTTTTGATTATCATACATCTGCAGGATTAAAAAGGGCGAACGCCGGCACAATCTGGACTTACAGAAACCGGTGAGGACGAAGGCCCCGGCAATGATGACGAAGGTCTGAACTGTGTCAGTGAACATCAGAGCAGCCAGGCCACCTGGTAACACACACACACACACACACAAGGAACAGTCAACATTGAAGCGCGATATATTTATATATATATATATATATATCTATCCGGATTAATAGTCCTTAATAAGGTTCAAGCTTGAAGAACACTACTATTTTCCACAATGCAACAAGTGGCATTTTTTCCTCAAACCATCTCTTCGCCTCGTCTTTCTAACACGCCAAAGTTTCTGGTTTCAATTTGTTGTGAAGTTTCTGAGCCTTAGGCCAGGCCGCCGCGATGACATCACTATGACATCATTCAGAGGGGCTCCTCCAGAGATGAACTGGAAAGTGGATGAGATCAGACTGCAGTTTCCAGCAGCCTTTTAAATCATTTACAGGACAAAAAAGTTCCAGGCTGTAGATTCATTGGCTATGTGGAGTTTACAGACCATGTTTGGATTTAACTTTATATTATTTTCACTGACAGGAAAATTTGTTAACTGATTAAAACTCCACAACATGAGACTGAATATCCAGCATTGAACGTCACAACCAGAAGGGACGAAGGAAGAAAAAAACAGATGTGACAAAGTAAACAGATCTTTGTGTGCTCCTTTAATTCAACGGATCTGTACCTGTGATGGTGTACAAGGCCGTTATCAAGAGAAGGGTGATGACGGCCACGTAGATGTTCCACCCTAAAGCCTGCTGGATGAACACCGCCCCAGAAAACATGTCCACCTGGACGGAGACGGAGGGAGTGAAACGAGACAAACGCACACGTAAACACACACACGTGTGTGGTTTTTCCTTGCAGCCGACTCACTGAGATCTTGGTGAAGATGTAGAGGAACAGCGAGATGACGGTGAGGTAGAGGCTGATCCTGGTCCCCCCGAACCTCTTCTTCAGGTACTGGGGCATCGTGATGACCTGCAGCGGAGGACAGAGGTCGTCTTCAGCGCCGGTGGGCGGCACACTTGTTAAGCAGCGATGGGTGGAGGTGAAGTACTTGCCCCGGCGGTGAGGTAGACGGGTACAAACAGCCAGCCCAGCAGCAGCACGATGAACAGAGCCTGGCGAGAGGAATCGGGCCGCGCGTTGGAAAGGGTGACCGATGGGACGTGAGCACAGTTGTTGCACGGTGTGACTTACGTTCCACTCAAACCCCCCCACGGCGATGCCGCTGGCGGCCCCGGTGCCCGCCAGGCCCACGAAGTGGCCGCTGCCAATGTTGCTGGCAAACAGAGATGCACCAACCTTTAAAAAAAAAAAAAAAAAAAAAATCTTTCGTTTTTAAAGGAAGGAACCACAAGATGTTGATAGACAATTTGCTTAACTTTGAAGACAAGAACTTTAAAATACTTGATCAAATGACTAAAAACATTAAGCACATTTTAGTGTAAAAGCGAGCCTGTTGGCGCCACCCAGTGGACAAACTATGACATCATAATAAGCGTTTCTCAATGACGTCAAGCACATCATCTACATTTGTTTCCATTTCTTCTTACGCGCCAGCAAACACGCAGCATAAGCCGAGAACTCACCGGCCACCAGGTCATGGTGCGCCCCGCCAGGAAATATCCTCCCACCGTCCCACGATTGCTGCGAAGCATGGCCTGAAACGCAGAAGCCTTCGCTCATACACTCTGCTTTTACGTGACACGCACTAAATCGTAGTCTTCCTGATGGATCAGCCACGCAGGCAGGCGCCCTCACCCAAACGCCCACGCCGATGACCGCCACGAAGTATCCCACGATGACGGAGATGTCTGCCGGGTTGCTGATGATCACTTTGGGACTCTCCATCGCTCCACTTGCTTTAAACCTGAAGCTCGATACGAGCACCTGAGCTCAGAAAGAACAGGTCCAGATCCGTGGGGTGGGATGGGGGGGGGGGGGTCGGTCGGTGCGAGAGAGAACTTTGGCCAGCTTTAAACAATCCACCGGGTCAGCAGTTTAATAACTATTAGTAATTATTAACACCAAAACCGTGAAAAACAGGGTGTCAGCGGTGTGGTTCTGCTTTCCAGTGCTTTTCTAATACATGCGTCTGTTGTTCAGAAACAAAGAGGTGGAAAACATTTAACCAAACAGTCCTTTAATCATCTGACAGTGTTGCTTTCATCAAAACAGCGTTTCTTTGCCTTTCAGCTCACAGACTCGATCAAACTGTACAAAAGGAGTGGAACAGCTCCCCCCCCCCCCCCCGGGCACCTCGCTCAACTCAACTCACATTTTAAGGGGAAACATCCCAAAACGTGGTTGTGACCACCGGCTCCACGGGAACTCCATGAATATTACTATGTTAATGTGTGTACAAATACACGTCATGTGTATGTTCTACATGTTTTGCAGCATGATTTAACATCCAGCCAAACAGCTTCATTTAAATTGATACCAAAATTCTCAAAATGGAAACCAGGCAATCGTCCAGAACGTTTCTAAACTGCATCAATGTCCACCAATGCAAAGTCACATCTGAAAACCAATTCATGTCCAGGATTAATGCATACCAAATCAACATAACAAATGCATTACAACATTTTAGTAATTGAAACCAATTCATTTTTATTTCGGGTTTCACGAGTTGGAGCCTCTGTGAAGCAGTCAGAACATCCACAGAGCTTCCGGCCCCGGTTGGTTTGTCAATCTGAGGACGACACGCGTAGAATGTAGAAAAGACGACATTTTCAGTGAATAAATAAATAGTATAGAGAGAGAGAAACCGAAGGAAACATTGCGGCTCACAGCAAAACAATGTGCTTACATTTGCAACCTTTTAGAAAGACAGAATTAAAAAATGTAAGTTACTTAAAAAAAACACAGAAAAAGTCACCCCCCCCTACGCTCAGTGTGACATCAAGGCAAGGCAAACAGCTACCATGTTCAAAAACCCAACAAAAACCTTTGAATTCATTTGAATAAATTAGGTGCAGTGCTTACGTGTTCAGATAACCGCCACACAGAACACATTCACGCGGCTGCAGCAACTCGGACCAAAGGTTCGGACACGGCTGCTGAATCAAGTAAAGACGGCCTTCGGCCCGGCTTGAAGGTTCAGGAGCGGTAGTTTAGACACCAGGAGGCCGCGGGGCAGCTTTGTATCTGCAGCACACCCTTCAGACAGGGTGCTTAAAGCACACCTCGTCATATATAGTAATATGCAAGATGCTCCGTTCGCCGGCCTCCATTTTTTTGTGCGTCATCCAGCTACATCTGCACATTTCATGCGCTGCTGTGTTCCACCTGTTGGAGGCATGAGAGAATAACGCGGGAAGTCCTCGGTCAGGGAGAGACCACCATGTCTTCTACAGCGCTTAAGAGCGGCATTGAAAAGGCTTCTGAGGCCCACACGGGACAGGAAGTGGAACACGGCAGGGTCAGAGATGTGCCGGTATCCTCGTGTCCAAACTAAACGCTGCTGGAAAATTCACAGCATTGAAACAGGTTTTTAAAAACAGCCTTAAAATTTTAAAAAATACGCCAGCAAAAGAGCTAAAAATAATATTACACTTAAAGAAAACAATAACCTAAAAAGCACTCCACCATAATTAGTGGATTGGTCACATTCGGGTGCGTGTTTCCTGATTTCTAACCAGTTTCTGGCTTTTTCTTCGCTCTTCCCGTGACACGTTAGATACGATCTGCATCCAGTCCGTCGTCCTCCGGGCTTCTCTCAGATGGTAAAAAACGGTCACTTCCTGGCGAACCAACTCGCTCTAAGGCTGGAGGTTGGAGCTCGCCGCCCCCGCCCCCCGTCACATGAACGCCGGCCAGGACCTTCGGGCGCGCTGGTCCCCGTGAACCTAGTCGGCCGCCTTCTTGCAGTTCTCTTTGGCGAGTCTCAGTCTGGACAGGATGTGTTTCTTGGGGAACTTTAAAGTGGTGCACCCAAACTGGCTCACGCCGCCGGTGTCCCCAGGGAGTTTCTCACGTCTCTGCACCCAGCTGCGCCAGCCGGGCTTCCAGCAGTACACGCTGTCATAGAACCGCGAGCCGTTTTCCCCGCCCAGCACGTAAATCCTGCGCTTCCACCTGGCCACGCCCCCCGCCGCGATCCGCCGCGGCAGCCCGGGAAACAGCACGGGGCTCGGCGCCCGGTCGCTCCCGCCACCCGCCCCGCCCCGCTGGTCGGCGGTGACCATCACCCCGCCCCCGGTCACCTCCCTCTCCGCCCCGGACCCCCTCCCCTCTCTGAAAAACTGCACACGCCCGGTGGCGTCTAAAGTCTCCAGATTGGTGTAGTTTCCGTCCAGGAACTTGGTCGTATCTCTCAAGTATCCCCCGATGGCGCACACTCCTCCTCGCACCGCTACCCCTCCGGCCAGACAAGTGGCGCCGGAGTCCAGAGCCACTCGTGTCCAGCAGTCGGTCAGGGTGTGATAAATCAGCACCCCCGAGTGGACCACGGCGCGGTTCTGTTCGAGCGTGGTCCCACCCAGAAGGTAGAGGCGCCCGCGTAACGCCGCGCAGGCGAAGGCGCGCAGAGGCAGCGGTAACCGGGGCCCCGGGGCCCACTGGAGCGTGGCGAGCTCCAGGGTCTCCGTGGAGTCCAGCAGGGCCGAGCGGTTACTGCCCCCCAGGGCGAAGACCGACTCCCCACAGCCCAGCAGGCCCAGCATGGCCCGCGGCTGCACCATGGAGGGCCGCTCTATCCAGCGGTCCAACACCGCGTCGTACTCGTGCACAGCCGCAGACACGGAGCCCGTCCGCAGGATCCCGCCCGCCACAAACAGCCGGTCGCCGACAGCCGTGCAGCCGGGACTGACCAGTGAACCCAGCGCCGCCAACTTCTCCCACTTCCCTGTCCGGGGGTCAAAGCAGTCCACCGTGTAGTCCTTCGCAGCTAAATTATCCTCCTCCCGCGGCGTCAGATCCACGCAGACTATCTTCTTCTCGAACATGCCCTCCCGCGGCCTCAGAGGGCCCCCGAGGCCCTCCCCGGCTGCGGCGGGCCCCAGCTCCTGGCAGAGTCTTCGGCTCTCTTCTTGGGACAGCAGCCCCGGCCGCAGGTGGTGGAGCAGCGCCGGCATGTGGGCGTAGCGATGCAGGGGCTGATGCTCCGCCCAGCGCCGCGCCGCGTCGTAGACCTCGGCTTCGGAGTCCACCCCCAGGCGGTCGGAGCTCAGGAGGCTGCCCAGGGTGCCGTGGTCGAGCAGGAGGAAGTCTTTCTGCCGGGCCACCCGGGGGAAGTGCTGGGCCACCAGCCGCAGAGACGCCCGCAGCAGCAGCTGGTCGTGGTGGGAGCGGGCCAGAGAGTACATCCCGAGGCAGTTATCCACCGACAGGTGCTCGAATAGAAACCTGCAGGAAATGAGCAGAGGAGGGTTTAACGTACCGGAGGCAGAAGCTGGTTCGACAAAGCGAATGTAAACTGTAAAGCCTCGTGAATGAACGTGACCATCCGTCACGTCTACGGAGGAGGTTTACCTGGAGCACAGGTCTTGGAGGGGCATGACCTGGAGCCGGTTAGCGGCCACAAACAGATCCTCGGCTGTGTCCAGGGAGAGCCCCGCCTCCCCGGTGTACACAAACTGGATGACGGTCTCCATGACGGACGGCGTCACTTCCTCCAGTCGGATCTCAGTAAGGCGGGACTCTACCAGAGGGCTGGTGAACATGGCCCGGAAGTACGGGCTCACTGCTGCCAAGAGGACTCTGAGGGGGGGCGGGGGTGGGGAGGAGCCCGCAGGATAGAAGGCACGTATTTAATACATGCAGAATATATTTCTGCATTTTACAGTGTTCAGCTTGGTGGATACATTTCTGCTCTTTTGATGCATCAGTGCGGCATCACCACGATGCATCCAAGGCTTTAATGTGTGAAATGTTGCAATTCGTCTGGAAGAAACTCGGACACGTGATTAATGGATGTTACGTACATTAAATATGTTGTAGTTCTCTTTTTCTACGATATAGCTTTCACACCTGTGACACATGAACTTCTTTCCCTCCACAAGTAGAGTCACATCACACAGCTGCTGAGCATCCAGGAGCTGCTTCAGTCCTAAAAACACGCCGGAGAGAAGAATGTGAGGGTCGGCTACGAGTCACACTCTATGAGGGGGGGGGGGGGGGGGGGTGTCCATCTCACCGCTCCATCTCACCGTGTGTGATGTAGTCTCCCAGCGGTGTGGTGCTGTCGTCGGGGAAGTCCTCCTCCTCCGAGTCGCTGTCCGACAGAGGTTCTCCTCCTCCGCCCTCCCCGTCCTGCCACGGCTGGGGACGCCAGGTGACCGCGCCCCCCCGCAAAGCGTTCATCTGAAGGGTCGCATGCACTCATTGTTAGGCCGGAAAAGGTTTTACAGCCCATCCTGCGTGCACCTGCTGGGCCCCATCTCTAACAGACCGACCCATGTGGATGGAGGCCCGTGACTGATGACTGACACACATATCACACATCTCCAGGGTTTTTTTGTTCATCTAACACATCTTCATTTTTAGGGAAATATTGCACGCTGCAGATTGACCACACTCCCTTTTGGTTGCATGTTTCAGTATGGCCATCAGGAAAATGTCTCCATAAAAAGCCTGACTTTAATAAATACCCCCCAAGAAGAAGCATCATGTTGTCATAGCATTAGCTTCAAATACCTTTGCTCTTCTTCTCGTTTCCACCGTGAAAGCTGGCTGGGTCTCAGTCAACAGGAATTGGTGGGGGCAGCGTGGGGCAGCCTAACTGCCTCCAACAACCCGGTGTCCTACCAGCAGCGTCGGGGGGGGGGGGCTCTCCTGGCTCCCACCGGAGGTGTCCCGGTCCCCCGGGCTCAGTGGAAATGCTCGTCCTTGGCCCTTTTTCTTTTCTTTTGCGAGTGAGGACCACGACCTACTCCTCGCTGCTCATCCAGCGCCGCGCAACATCACCAACGGTTACCGACCGACGGGTCCCACAACTAGTTAACGTTAGCTTACAAAGGAACACTATCCCCCGCTGGGCCGAAGCTCCTCGCCGCGGCAACATACCGGTCCACGGGGGCATCACCCACACGCGTCCGGGTCGGTGGGGAGGAGCAGCGGGCGAACAATGGAGGGCTTTTTTAGAGCACACGGGGCAGAAATATCACTGGTGAGTTTCAGGTCTCGTCGGCCGCACTTGTCACGTCTGAACCGGATTACCGCAACGTTAAACTTCCGCCTATCTGATTGGCTGACCTTTGGCTCGTGACGATTTGTTTGGGGGTGAGTCGTTTTCACTGGTATTTTTTTTTTTTTCAATTTACCGCCCACCTTTTTACATATTGTGACAACCGTTGAGTAAAAGTATTACTAAATGGAATTTATAAATAACTTAAAAACAAAACATTCCGTTTTATCTCGATTTCATTTCCGAAAAAAACATTTCCGCATTCATGTTGCGTTCACGGCAGATGCGAGCGTTTCAAAGCAGATACAAGTGCACACCGGCTCGACGAGCAGCTTAAAATAATACAGGTAAAATGAGGTTGAAAATATATTAAATAATTTTTATTATCGTAATTTATAATGTGGTACTAAAACAATAAAACGCGAAAGGTTGACTGAGCCAACAACACGGTATAACGGTAAAAACTCCCAGCACCCCTGAATGCGACATTGACCACAAGACAAAGATGGCGACCTGCATCGGCACGGTCGTGAGATTCGGAGGCGCGGCACTGACCGCCGTCTTCCAGCCGGTGGCCAGACAGTGTTGCCGGCAGAGAGCACGCGTGTACGTCCCGCGCCGCTTTTCGCACGGGGCCCGCAGCAGTTTGTACGAGCACGTCCGCGAAGGCTACAGCGACAAGCCCGAGCTGGACATGAGAGCAGTGTGCGAGGAGACCGACAAAGTCATCGCAAATGTGGAGAACAGGAAGGGGGACCTGCGGGGCGACGACGTCAGGGCGATTGTAAGTGATGCGCGGTAATGAATGACGCGTCGTATGACAATTTTACAAACACTGAATGCTTATTTGTGACTGCACAGCCATTCTAAACACTTGTCACGTCATGTGTAAACATGTCAGGGGAACACGGGGAGAGGTGTTCTAACTGGCCGGTCATGTGACCACCTTGCAGGTGTGCGTGTGGCAGGAGCTGCAGGCGGTGAGGATGGAGATCTCGGGACTGGAGGCGCAGAAGAGACACGTCAGTGACACCGTCAAAGATTTCCTGGTCGGTAAACCTCTGGTGACTAATCTGAAACTTCTTTTGAATATATAACACGTGTACTTTTTTTTGTATTGGTGCGTCTGTCATTGTGACATATACATATTTTCCTCACAGACCAAGAGTGACAAGAAAGCGCTCAGCAATGTAAGCTCCACTTATCGAATCATTCGATGTTGTGCTTGCTGATGGTTTGTGGTAAATCCCACGTGGGACCAGTGGACCAGTTCTGAATGCCCTCCCCCCATCCTCCCCCATCCTCCCCCAGCTTCCAGAGTACACTCAGGCTCTGCAGAAGGGCCGCGAGATCCGCAGCAGACTGAATCAGCTCTACCCCAGGGAGACGGAGCTGGACCAGGAACACTACGGACGAGCGCTCCGACTGCCCAACACCACGCACCCCGCTGTGGTAAGGACGCACACGGACACGCACACGGGCTTTGTTCCGACAGAAAGCCCGGTTGTAAACTTCTTAAAGTCCCTCTTTCTTCTTTTCAGCCGGTGGGAGCTGAGAACCAGGCGAAGGTGTTGGAGCTGGTTGGACAGAAACCAGGTGAATAAAAATCAGTGCATCACGCGTGTGTGTTTTTTTTTTTTAATACGACAGCTCTGATAATCTGCTGTGTCACTTTAGAGTTTGACTTCAAGCCCAGAGGCCATATAGAGTTGGGGGAGGAGTTGGGTCTCTTCCGCCAGAGGTGAGGACGGAGGCTACAGTTTCTGCGAATGTTTACACGTTTCAAACATAGGATGTTTGTGAAGCCAGTTCATCCCATTATATGTAATAATCGGTCTGATACAGAAGTTATTGATATGATGTAACACTCTTTCTTTCCCCCCCGTCCCCTCCTGCAGACATCTCGCTCACGTCTCGGGCCACAGGTCTTACTATCTAAGGGGAGCGGGCGCCCGACTCCAGACCGCACTGCAGAACTTTGCCCTGGACACACTGCAGCGACGGGTGAGCTTGTGTTTGGAAATATTAGGTAAAATGTTTTTTTAAGAGCTTATTCTGTTTAACATCTAAGCAAACTTGCTTTTGACTCCTGCAGGGCTTCATTCCCATGGTTGTACCTGACATGCTGAAGGGGGCCGTGTTTGTGAGTAGAAAGACTGGTTCATCTGTTCCATCCGTCATGGGCGTCGTCCCGACAACACCATCGGACTCTGGCGCTGGACTGAATCTGAAAAATCAGATTTATATGCACTTTACAACAGTCTTGATGTAATACTGATGCCTCTATATGACTTTCATAAGTGGACAACCATCAGCGAGAAGAATGTCGGTTTTGTTCTTCATAGTAACTTCAAATAAAATCTCTGCATTGACACCCTCAGAAATAAAAAGCGGTGACCTTTCCTCCTTCTTTCTTCCCTTGTTTTCTTGTTTTCTTCCTCTGGCTCCAGGAGGGTTGTGGGATGCAGCCCAACGCCCATCGGTCTCAGGTGTATTCTCTGGACCAGACCCGCTTCCCAGACCTCAACCTGGCCGGGACCGGGGAGGTCGGAGTGGCAGGTGGGTCTTATTGTGTTCACCATGAGGTTTTATATGTCTATATCGCTGCTTTCCGAGCTTGTTAAGCACTTTGGTCAACTGAGGTTGTTTTTAAATGTGCTATATAAATAAAATTGAACTTGAACTTGAACTATATAGATAATATAAGCAAGAAATAACCCCGTAGTTTGGAGGAGACGTTGTAAAAGCGTCTCTATATAAGGATAAACGTTAAAAACGTATGTTAGAATAGACCGCAATGCAGGAGTTTCCATTATTTTAAACATTGTACAGGTGCTGATGATGGTCATACTGTTAAAAATGCAACAGATGTGTTAGTACAGTGGAACTATATTTAGCGATCTAGGCTTATTTATCGGCAGTTTTGCATAAATGCAGCATCCATGGTCTGTGACGGTCTGTCCTTCAGGGTACTTCATGGATCACGCGGTAAACTGGAAGGACCTGCCCGTCAGGTGAGACACCCCCCTCCCTCCCTACGCATGTATCGGAGTGATTCTAGCTATTGCAACGTCTAACCCCCCCCTCCCCTTTGTGCAGGACGGCGTGCAGCAGCACCTGCTACAGAGCGGAGACGGACACGGGCAGAGAGACGTGGGGGCTCTACCGAGTGCATCACTTCAACAAGGTCAGGAAGACGAGCGGAGTTGCTCAGATGTAAATATGCAAACTGTGTGGCGGTAGCTCTGAGCAAGTCAGGGCTCCACGTTTGTGCTTTTTGCAAGATTTCATAAACCAGTTTCTACTCGACGATTACGCTAACGAGTTGTCCGTCTCTTCAGGTAGAGATGTTTGGAGTGACCGCAGATGAGACGGGAGAGGAAAGCGCTCAGCTGCTGGAGGAGTTCACCTCTCTGCAGAAAGAGATGTTCTCTGCACTGGAACTACACTACAGGTTAGAACACACACAGTCCCAATGCGCGTGTGACCCTGTTCTTTCACGTATGCATTACTACATAAGACACGATATTTAGAACATTTCTACGACTCGCAGCTTTATTCCACTTATTTTGGTTGTGTTAGGGTGCTGGACATGCCGACGCAGGAACTGGGTCCTCCAGCACACAGGAAGTATGACATCGAAGCCTGGATGCCTGGGAGGGACGGCTATGGAGAGGTCAGTCACCTGAACGTAACGGAGAGGTCTGCTGGCTACGACTGAGTTCATGTGTGGTAATGGATGCTGCAGGGTGTGCATGAAGAGACACACAAGCATACTTCCACTCATTGATGCCCTTCATTTCTCAGTCAAAAGCAAACACACAAACATGGCATGCAGCATCATTCTTCTAAACTTCCGAATTAAAGTGAAAACTTAAATGCATAAGTCCTGTTGTTCATTTGTTGTCATCCAGCGAGCAGAATCTGTAGTTGTAACGATGGGGGAAGAGTAAGATCTTGCAGTAAATGTACATATTAATGTATAATTAATAAAGTCAACGGTAAATATGATGATGGTGCTGCATGCGCTGATAACACCAATTGACTCAAACGGGGGAGACGCTCAAGTCACAGAACAGTAGGCTTGAGTTTTGTCGTATAACCTTTTTGAGCTCCACTGAGCCGGCAGGCTGTATTTTGATGCTGATTTTGACGGCATTGTTTTCTCTCTGAACGTCAGATCTCCAGCGGGTCAAACTGTACCGACTACCAAAGCAGACGCCTCAACATCCTGTACGAGCGAGAGAACGGCAGCCTGCGCTACGCCCACACCGTGAGACGCGGCCCCGCGCTTCATTCCCGCTGTTTGTTTTTTTAACTCCGGGTTGTGCAACGCCTCCGTCATGTTTTGCTTTGTTCCCCTCCAGGTGAACGCCACCGCGTGCGCCATCCCCAGGACCATCATCGCCCTCCTGGAGACTCACCAGACCAAAGTGAGCCGCCAGCTTTCTCCACTGCTTTAGAAACATGTCACCGGATCCACCTTCCACTGGTCTTCATGCGTTTCTCTGGATGCACTTGTGTTGAAGTGGCTCCCCCTTGTGGTTGTTGTCAGTCAAAACACATGAATACACATTGGAATTAATTCTATTTAATATGCTGGAAGATAAAAATATGAAATAATACTGGAATTATCTCTATGCTGCTAAATGGTTCATAGTCCGAGTAGCTGACAAACTAAAAGAGGCAATTCTTAGTTTGTATAATAATGATCCATTGATTACCACATCCCACTACCTGTATGAGATGTTTATCTTGGGTGTAGAATGCCCATCAGAATTTTTTATTTGATTTTTTTTAATAATTAATTTTAAAATATATTTTTCCCCTCTTTTTATTAGTCTTCACTTCTGTTTTTTGTGATTATTTTAATAGTTAATTCAGTCACCATACAAAAAAGCCACATAATTAGAATGAAACTTCTATATTCTTCCATAAAAAGTGCACAAACTCTGTGCAACACATTATTAGAGATTAACAGTAACAAACACATTTTACAACATATTTAATTCAAAATATTAATTGACCCACTTTAACTCTGTGTTGATAATGATGCTTCTTTTTTCCAGGAGGGAACTGTGCGTGTCCCCCGAGCCCTGCAGTCCTATTTGGGACTAGAGGTCATCGAGACACCAAAATACGCTCCACTGAAATACATCGGACCCAACCAGCACAAGCGACCCCCCCGGCCTGCTCCCAAAGCCAGATGAAACAAACAAAAAGCAAACACCTGGAGGGGGCAGTTCCCTTTCGCCATTCTACACCACCGGGACCGGAAGTTGGGCCTCACATGGGTGCCATCTGCTCTGATTGTAGAGATCAACAGACCTCTCTGAAGGAGCTGGATGGATAAATAGATGAATCTGCTGTTCTGTCCTTGAATTGAGTTGAGTTTGTGGACGCTTTGAGGCAGCGGATCAGACCTTTAATAACGCAGTTTATACCGTCATATGTAAATATGTTTCTTATTTTGTTGAATGACATGAAATTGAGAGTGAAAACATCAGCAGGAGGACCATGATGAAGAACAACCAATAAAAGAAATAACTGTCACATTATGAAGGACTTTGTGACCTTGGGGGGCTTTAGACGGAGAACAGGTGTTGCTCCCGAAGGTGACAATGCCTATTCTGCTGTTTTATCATTTTTAATATTCTACATTATGTTTTATTTTATTTTGCTATATTGCGGTGGTTTGGCTTTGCCTCCTTTATAAATAATAATAATAATAATAATGATAATTATTATTAATAAAATCGTCTGGCTTTGTGAGGCGAATGAAATGCGTTGATGCACATCTTACACACTTTGTTAACACACCCCTTAAGTACAAGGCAGCCGACACGCATCTTATCTGCTCTCCAGTCAGCTGACGCACACGCACGCGCACGCACGCACGGCTCCACCTCGCTCGGCTCGGCGGGTGCGTGAAGAAGATCCGACCCGTTATTCTCAAGGTTATCTCCTGCAGGAACCGCACTCTCTGGATCCTATGGAGCTTCTGATAACTGCGGTTTTTCTCTGGGCTGCCGTCGGGGGTAAGTGGGCTTTTAATCACGTGTGCCAGACCGCTTCAGTGCGTGTGCGTGTCCGTGTGCGTGTGCGCTCGCCGGTCGCTATGTTTGAAACGACGCTACAAAATGCGAGCAGCTAAGCCGGAGAAGAGCCTCGTCTGCAGCCCGCGGTACCGTTCCTACCGGCACGTAACCGTCAATAGAGACGAGACCGAGCGCGTCCTAATAAGACTCTACGGGGCAGATACAGTGCGTCCTAATAAGACTATGGGGCACATACAATGCGCCCTAATACGACTCTATGGGGCAGATACAGTGCGTCCTAATAAGACTCTATGGCGCAGGTAAGGCGTCCTAATAAGACTCTATGGGGCAGATACAGGGTTTCATAATAAGACTCTATGGGGCAAATACAAGACATCCTAATAAGACTCTATGGGGCAGATACAAGGTTTCATAATAAGACTATAGGGAAGAAAGAGGTTTCATAATAAGACTCTATGGGGCAGATACAATGTGTCATAATGAGACTAAAGATACAAGGTGTACTAATAAGACTGTATGGGGCAGGTACAGGGTTTCATAATAAGACTGGGGCAGAAAGAAATTTTAATAATAAGACTATGGCGGATAGAAGGTTTCATAATAAGACTATGGGGCAGATACAAGGTGTCATAATAAGACTATAAGATACAAGGTGTACTAGTAAGACTGTAAGGGGCAGATACAGGGTTTCATAATAAGACTCTATGGGGCAGAGGGTTTCATAATAAGACTGTATGGGGTAGAAAGAAGGTTTAATAATAAGACTATGGCGGAAAGAAGGTTTCATAATAAGACTCTATGGGGCAGATACAAAGTTTCATAAGACTATAGAGCCGATACAATGTGTCATAAAACGACTCTATGGGGCAGATACAATGTGTCATAATAAGACTACAAGATACAAGGTGTACTAATTAGACTGTATGGGGCAGATACAGGGTTTCATAATAAGACTCTATGGGGGAAAAATAAGTTTCATAATAAGACTCTATGGGGGAAAAAGAAGTTTCATAATAAGACTCTATGGGGCAGAAAGAAGGTTTAATAATAAGACTATGGGGCAGATACAATGGGTCATAATAAGACTCTATGGGGCAGATAGGCGTCATAAAAAGACGCAGAAAGACGGTGCTAAGACTCATGGGGCAGAAAGAAGGTGTCATAATAACACTATGGGGCAGAAAGAAAGTGTCCTTTTTTCTTCTTCTTTTTTTTTAAACAATCCTGTTGAAAAGCAGATGAAACACAGGTGAGCGGAGTGGTGCACGTGGTTATATGCACGTGGTTATATGCACCGGTGAGAACGTGTCATTGAGTTTCAGTGTATTCTACCGTAGAGTGCTGGTTTAGAGGGAAGTCTGCTTCCACGGAGACGTGCAGATGTAAATAGGACAGTAAGGAGTCTGCAGTGGTGTTATAACAGCCACACAATGAGGTAACCTACTTAGAGCACAGCAGACACACGCACACGAAATACAACCTCATATTATTACATCGTATTGAACCTCTAAATGCTCAATGACGTGTGATCTCATTCCAAGATCATTGCTGCTCAGATGTCGCTCTGGTTTTCAAACCGACATGTTAATATTTGGTCACAAAATGCTTTTTGATTTTCTCAATTTCTAACGCGGAGGTTTGGGCGGACATATGAATAAAAAAAAAAAAAGCTCACGTGGGGCAGCAAGATGAACACGGATCATGATGCATATTTAGGTTTAGGTGCATATTTAGGATTCAACATTTCTCTGTGAGCTCCTCTGCTGCGTTGCTTCTCCGAGGTAACTGCTCCTCCCGTCCAGCTCCTCTGCGGCGCTTGTTTGATGCAGCTTTCTGCTAAATGTATTGATTTGTGTTCTCAGTGGGAAGCCGGCCAGTGACCTCGCCCCTCGATGATGCAAAGGTCAGACACAAGTCCCCGTTGGTTTCCCCTTATCATTCACTTTATTTCTATTATTTCTTTTTAAATAACCTTTTTGTATCTACAGGTTGAATGCATTATTCAGGAGACCCTGGACGAAGACGGGCCACAACACGAGTGTGGCCCGCAGCTCGCAGGTGACATTTCTAATCATCAATACTCAAATAAAAATCATTTAAGTATCTGAGTTTGAAATTAGTTTTTTCTTGTCTTCTGCCTTATTGCATGAGGAAAAAAAACACTTTGCTTTTGTCATGTGACGCCTGTCTTTTTGGTACATTTTGGTTGTTGTGCTATTGTGTTGGCTGGAGCGTGTCATTATTCCTGCAGAGGAACTTGACGAGGTGCAAAGACATCAGGGTCTGCTCAGGGAGCTGCAGAGGCTGGCTGATGATGGTGCGCACAAATTCACACTGACGCAAAATGACTTCATGCTAAATTTCACTGATCCTTGCAGAGACAGACGAGAAGCGGCGATACGAGGACAACCAGGCCGCCGCCGCAGCCGACGACAGCGAGTTCAAGCAGGAGGGGCGAGACGTGACCGTCCCCCTCAAGGAGAAGGAAGACGACGTCAAGGAGAAGATGATGGAGGAGCCGCGGGTCGAAGACAGAGGGAGGGACAACGACGAGGAGCAAGCCAGGGAGCTTGAGGAGCTGCTGGCTGAGGAGATCACCAAGAAAGGGAAGGAGGAGAGGAACGACGAAGAGCTCAAAGAGCTGCTGAAGGAGCTGAAGAAGAAGCGCTACGAGGCTGTGAAGGAGAGGGGGACCCAGAGAGGCCCTGCACCGGAGGAGGAGAAGAAGGAAAAAGGAGGACAAAGTCAAGGAGGGAGATCCGGCAGAGGAGTCGCAGAAGCAGAGGATGGAGGAGAGGAGGAAGAACGAGGTGGAGCTGATGGTGGAGCGGGAGAAGGTGGAGAAGGAGCTGAAGGAGCTGCTCAAAGGGCAGGAGAGCGAGAGCGAGCTGGAGCACGACAGGGAGCGGAAGGAGAAGCAGGAGGAGCTGGACGAACTCGTCAGGAAGATGAAACGGGCGAAGGAGGAGGAGCAGGAGATGCAGGGCGGGAAGAAAGAGGACGGCGAGGGTCAGCGGACGGCGGAGGAGACGAAGGAGCGTGAAGGCGATAAGGGGCCCGGCGAGAAAACCGAGAACGAAGTCAAGAAGAAGAAGAAGGAGGAGGCGGCGGCCGAGGTGAAGGAGCCGCAGCAGAAGAGAGTGATGGAGAAAGCCAGCGACGAAGCCACGCAGCAGTTTGAGCGCGAGAGGTACGAGGGCGCGGATGAGGAGGACGAGGAAGACGAGGAAGACGAGGATGAATACGTCAGGGAGGATGGGGACGGGCAGGCGGAGGGGGATGATGACGAGGGTGAGGCCGAAGAAGATGAAGGGGAGGTAAAAATGACAAATTACAGATGAATTATTTGGTAAATGCGTGGTACTAGTTACATTTCGTAAAGCCCCGCGTGTCCTGGATCACACATTCTCATACGTTCTGTCCACAGGAGCTGCTGGAGATCGAAGCGGAGTTGCGCAAAGTCGCTGCGGAGCTGAGGGAGCTTCGCAGAGGATGAGACACACACACACGTACGCACACACACACACACACAGCAGACTGGGAGAACCCGCAGTCACACATTCAGCTCACCCGTTTCCCATTTCACAGCCTTCAGATCCCCACAGCACTCCACGGCGAACCAGTAAACGGCCGACAGTAGAAACTTTGATTTGTGCTTTCACATCACCTGGAAAAGGCTGTCAAGAGGCGCATTTTCCCTCCTCGTGGTGGGAAAAACAGAGCCCCTCCTACAAGTAAATGTGTGTACTTTGATATGTATTTTGTGCAATAACTGATGACGTATGTGTGAGCTGTTCCTGCTATTCTGACTGTTAACTATTGGTATTACTGATATTTCTATACACTAGTGTAAGTTAGTGAATTTCTCTGGAGTAGAGACGAAGGCGCGCGTTTCTTTTGGCTCTCGGACTGTTAAAACCAGACTGTTTGTGACGAACCGGGGTGACACGAGGGTGTCTTCAGCGCTGGCTGCCGCGTGGCCTCAGGATGCAACGTACTTAGAGCTTACAAGGTCTAAAAGTGTCACCCCGGGTTCTCAGCCAGCTTTGCACTCTTATCTTAACAAGCCAAGGAGGAAACGAGGGGGGGGGGGGGGGGGCGCCTAAAGCCATTTTGTTGTCTTTTCGGTAACAACAACGTGCGCCCGTAACCCCAAAAATGCTCAGCGGGGTACACCAAATCCCCGCCAAGTTATTCGGGGGAAATCAAATATCACGTAACCCAAGACGTGAGGAAAATAGAAAGCAGCGGCGCCCCCACGAGGACACAGCGTGCAAGTGCACACCTTTGCAGGATTCACAGGTTAACCATCGTTAACCATCGGGGGCCTGTTTACTGCAATAACACAATAGAGACAGCACATGCGAATGCAATAATTAGCCAAATACTGAACTATTTCATGTGTTTTAATATTTTAATCAAAGTACATCATAGAGTACTCGTATAGCAGGTATAATCTCTTTTTCTACACAGCCAAGATTTACAAAACGTGTATGTATTTTGATCGCTGGTCGAGTCGCCGGTTGGTCAGCTTGTGTAAACACGTGATGATAAGACACATCATCGGGCAATACTGATGACATCATTACCGTCCATTCCAAAGATGTAGTGTAGCCTTCTTTTTTCTATATTAGTGCAAACCTATTTCCCCCAAATGTATCTTACAGGCCAGCAAGAAAGATTTAGGAAATGTCCCCGGGGGGGCTCCACTAAACGGCGTGGAGGACTTTTCGAATAACACGGGGAAAACATATTAAGAAAAACACAGTTTAAAATATTACTGGCCAATCGCTGTATTTTGTGCCGGCTGTATCTTCTTCTGCGCTTCAATCAATAAAGGAAAAAGTGTATTAAACCATTATGTGTCATCTGTTCAATTTGTAAAAACAGTAAAATTCCGTGAAGGCATAAAATTACAGTTTCAAGTTCAAGTCGTATCAAAGATTACATATAAATAACATATTTCAATAGAAGCCTCGGGAACGACTGAGTTTGGGAACCGCAAAAAAGGTTTGGCTGGGGAGACGCGGGTCCACGGGTGTCTTCACGAGGGGACTTCGAGGCCGGCCTCTGCAGCAGATGGACCTCCTGCAGTCTGCGTGGACTCGGGAGAATCGGCCCCTCGGGGGCCGGCGGACACTGACTGGATGTGGCTGAGCAGGGAGGAGAAAAACTGCGGCACTCCCTCGTAGCCTGGAGAGAGAGAGAGAGAGAGAGAGAGGGGGAGTCAGTGGGACGTCGCCGCGTCTCGCCACGTGCGCCGGTGCCGCGGCGGTACCTGGGAAGATGTTGATGTCGATGGCGGTGAGGGTGTGCGTGTGAACGTCGACGATGACGTCCACGCCGAACAGGGCCATGCCGAGCTGAGCGCGGAGCTCTCTCACCAGGGCGGCCACGGCCTCCGAGCTGGGAGGAGGAAGGCCCGGCATCTGCTCGTCCAGCTTGGACACCGGGAGGGGAAAGGGGACATTTTTAAGGTGGGTGACGGTTGGCGGCTACGTCAAACTATTATGTTGAGTTTTACCGATGTATCGTCCCTAATGGGACATCCAGGAGAGAGAACGGGTACTGATAAAGAATTACCACTTACTGCCGTCAGATGAGAGTTTGACTCCGGCTTGGACACCTGATGGCTGTTAAAGAAGATGGTCTTCCTCTCTGCATGCAGAGAACCAGTTCAGCAAAGAATCCATCAAGTAGAGTAACTTAGGACAAAGAGGGACACGGAGGGACAGGACAAGAAAAGGAAAATAAATGGGAGGAAAGGAGAGGAAATGAAATCACATGGAAGGGAAGCGAGGGGATGAAAAGGAAAGGAAACAACAGAATGGGGGAGGAAGGTAAAAGACAAGCTTGAATAGGAGTAGACAGAAGGACAAGAAAGTAAAGAGCAGGAAATAAAGTAAAGCAAAAGGAAAGGCCTGTAAACATCTAACGCATATGAAGACTGACCACAGGGACCTGAGGGGAAGTTCTTGAGCGAAGGCCTCTCCACGCAGAAGTGCTGATCTCCCACCACAAACACCTTGTGCAGGACGGCCCCGTGGTTGACGAAGCTCTGGAGGACACAGGGAGGACGGACGTCGGCCAGACCGTCTGCACCAAAGATCAGAGACATCTGCAACTCACAAAGACGATGCAGCGGACATTAAAAAAAAAAGAACAGAGAGCGGAAAGGCTGCTTAGAGGACAACGTCCAAAAGCAGAGAACCTCACCTCGTGGGAAAGTGAGCCGTGCGCCACTCTGGTTTTACAAACTGGGGGGACAAAGACAAAGAAACACTACATTGAGCAAATGGGACCTTAATAAGTGACAAAGTGAAAGGCAGACAGAGAGTGAACTGACTGAGAGGGAAGCTCAAGCCCTGGGTCACCAACGCCTGATGAATGGAAGGCAGGTCAGCGGCGCTGTGGATCTCCAGATACGGAGGACTGCAGATGCACCAATCTGCTGGGCAGCATATGACAGGAGGGGCAACGGTTAATAAATACATCTGCAAGCCGGCAGAAAAGCTCCTCACGGTGCTGCACTTTACCTCGGAGGGAGCGGTGCAGATGGCTCATGATCCGGTAAGAGGCAAAGCGGTTCTAGGAGCCGCGTCATGGCGGGCAGAGGGTCCAGAAGAACCGTGGGCGGGGTGAGCCGACACGTAGCTCTGCACGTAGAAGAGGCGGATTCTTCAGGTTAAAGCGAATCCCTCCCAGGGAGGTGTCCGTCGGACGACAAAACCCGGCAACCGCTACCTGGAAGTCGGCGAGGACCCGCTGCGATTGGCTGTCGCGCTCGGCCTCCACGACGACGTCAGAGAGCTTGTGGACGATGACGTCGAAGGGTCCCTGGTGCACCAGAGGTCGAGTGATGTCGATCTGACGGACGAGAAATGACCGTGTCACGCGCCAGCCAGCGGTTCTGTCCGGCTACTAGTGTGCAGCACAACACAGTGAGATTTTGCTCTCATGTAATGTTTGGAAATGTAAAAGAAGACTGATTCCACGGTGAATTGCATGCTTCTGCTTCGGTGAGCAGTCCAGGGGGAAATCCCGAATCATTCATTCTGTGACGCGGCGTGAGTCACGGCAAGAAAAGCCGGTGTAACTGCTAACGCTTTGGCTTTGTTGTCCTCCGCGCTGAATGAGTCACGGTTTGTTTTGGGCACTGCATAAGGCACGCACACGCTCATCTGCATGTGAAAAAAGAAAGCGTGGCTGAGACCAAGCAGCCGGACCTGCCGGACCGAACGCCAGCAAAGACGTTTGACTCAGGCGTCGGCCACGCTGTCCGCTCAGAGAGCCGTCTGTGCTTCTGCGGTTTCTCATTAAGTGATGATGATTTCAGCGTGGAATCCTGGGAATTCCTTTGAATAAAAAACTCAAAGACTGTTTATATTACCTGAATAGTGTGTTTCACAGTTCAGTTCAGGTCACCATGGAAACATTTTTTTTTAAAAGCGTGTGTCACCTGAAACCAGTTCGCCGCTGCGTGTTCACTTCAGCTGAACTCACAGCAATGCGGCCCGACCGAACGCGCCACAGAGTGTGCAGATATTCACTCGCTAACATGACATATCTGAGCAGTTACAACCACGCCGCCATTGTTCACTGCAGGGCGGCCGCAGGTGGCTGTGACACCGATTACTAGAGCTGTGGACATCTGTGCCTGACATAAGTGTGTGTGTGTGTGTGTGTGTGTGTGTGTGTGTGTGGACACACTACAGCCCCACCTGTAATCCTAAAACTGATTAACCTCTAGATTTAATGATTATATTGCGTCCGTTTTCTGGAATTTTTTACGATAAGCACATTCACAAAGACACACGCACACACACACACACACACACACACCCATGCACACACAGGGTTAAGTTCCTCATTTTATAGCTCAAACTCCACCTTTCCATCACGCTGTGGTTATAAATCTTGAAGAATCTACTGACTTTATGTGTAGGTGAGGAAAAACAGAACTCACCTCCACCACCTCGACTCCATGGCCCCTGCGAGAAACCAAACAATCACTCAAATGTTTCAGATTCAGTGGAGATGATAAAGCCGGAGTCACCTGAGCAGGTGGGGGTTTGGGTGGGGGGGCAGCAATACGGCTCAATCAATCATTCATGTTGATAAAGAATTGCACAACTGGGAAACAGTAGATTACAGCTCGGGTACAACATTTAAACGCCCTCTAACTGAGATATCACAATGAAAAGGTCCCCCCCCCCCCCAACCTTCTGGGAACCTAAAGGGGGCCCATTCCCTTTAACCAGCTCTCAGTCAATTAAAATAAAAAATAATAAAAAATCTCAGCTTGAACTTACGCACAGAAGGCAGCGAAGGCGTCCAGGTTCATCCTCCTGCGCTTCTTCTCGCTCAGACAGAATCCCACCCGGCGGCCCGACATCTGGCGGCTGAGCGACCCGGGAGCCGGACGCAGAGAGGCGGATGTCTGGTGGCGGAGCCTCGCTCCTCTCCATTCGGCCCTCCCCCTCATATTTATGCCGACGCGATGCGAGCGTCTGGAAAGACGCGCGTTTCCAGTTGCACAGGTGGAACACAGGAGGGGGGGAGGCAGTCAAACCAGTAGAGCCACTTAACTTCCTTATTGCTGCCTTCCAATAGGCCGGTATCACCCCCCCTCCCCCCTCCCCTCGCCTTCCTGCGCCATAAACAGAAAGAGAAAGTAAAAAGTCATATTATTTGGGAAGTGGCTCCATTTTTTTTTCGGCCTCTCGCGCGTGTTTCGGCTGCTGCTGCTCATGCTGTTTCCTTTCAACTGACCCTCCAAGAGAAACTTCGGGACCACTTAAAGAAACGTGAACGCACGTGAGCTCACGAGGCGGGAAGTTAAAATGTCCCGCGGTTCGAGCCCAGGCTTCGACCGACACATCACCATCTTCTCCCCGGAGGGCCGCCTCTACCAAGTCGGTAAGAGAGACACCCGCCCGCTGCTCGGCGCGGCCCGCGGGTACCAGCTGGGTAGTTTGGGCTTAGGTCGGAGGTGAGCCTTTCTTCTCGATGTTGGCTGGGGAACCTCAAACATTCCACTCACGTGCTCATTTCGGGTCGTTACATCGTGGTTCCATTTACAGTGCAAGTGCTTGGGAAGTTACCGTCACGCTTTTGGTTGCCTGAAAAGATCCCTGAGTGGTCGGTTGGACTTGTTCAGATGTCCACCCTCCCAAGAAGCAAGGTTGCGACCTTCCAAAATAGAACTCAAGGCTTCATAAGCAAGCTGCAGTAGATAAACATGGGCTTCACCATTGGTATGGTCATGTGTATTCGGTATACTGCCATTTTAAAGCTGAATTAAACAGGATTTAACAGAGTAAATTCTGCTTCCTCCCTCAAATGCACGAATCACTGATGCTGCTTTTGGAGTTCTTTGCTGATATCAACACCTAAAAAAAGAATTATGTCTGTGTGTCACATGTGCCGTCGAGCAGAATACGCCTTCAAAGCCATCTCGCAGAGTGGGCTGACATCTGTGGGGGTCCGGGGGACGGACAGCGCCGTGGTGGTCACACAAAAGAAAATACAAGTGAGACACCACACACACACACACACACACACACACACACACACTCACGCACACTCACGCACACTTGCAGGATGATGATCTGAGTTCGTGTGAAGCGTCGTGACTCCAGCTTGCTGCTGACGATCAGGACGCTGGCTTTAAAAAAACCAACGCCGGATCTCACGTTACCAAGCGACTCCGCGCGTTTGTTATAGATGCAGCGTCAGGCACTCGTCTGGAGACACGTCGGCATAATAGCATTTCATTTCAAGAGTCGTCCTTTCCTCCCGACTGCAGGACAAGCTGCTGGACTCGTCCACCGTGACCAACATGTTCAAACTCACCCCTCGCATTGGCTGCGTGATGACCGGGCACGGCGGTATGTATCTACACCATCATGGCGGACATGGCGGCGTTCTCTGTGGTCCACTGTGACTGTGTCTGGAGGACGTCTTCATGATGTATACAGGACGGTGACACAGATTGCCGACCTTCTTCTGTTTTCTGCAGGAGACAGTCGCTCCCAGGTTCACCGGGCGCGAGCTGAAGCCGGAGAATGGAAATATAAGTTTGGTTATGACATCATGGCGGACATGTTGTGTCGCCGGTTGGCGGAGATCTCCCAGGTCTACACACAGAACGCCGAAATGAGGCCTCTCGGCTGCTGTGAGTTCTAAGTGTCTGAACGGTCTCGTGATCTGATGATGGCGTGAACCTTTCTAACCTTCTGCTTCCTGCAGGTATGATCATGGTGGCCGTGGACCCCCAGAAGGGTCCCGTCCTGTTTAAGTGCGACCCGGCGGGCTACTACTGCGGCTTCAGAGCCACGGCGGTCGGGGCCAAACAGGCGGAGGCCAACAGCTACCTGGAGAAGAAGCTGAAGAAGAAGCCCGAGCTGACCCCCGACAGGGCCGTGCAGGTAGAGGGGAGACCCGGGCAAGCGGAGTGTTCCCAAAGGGTCCGATGCGTTCCAGCGCGCTCGCCTGACTCGTTACGTCCTTTTCCCCAGATGGCGATAACGTGTCTCTCCTCGGTCACTGTCCCTGGACTTCAAGGCCAGCGAGCTGGAGATCGGCGTGGTCACCAAGGAGAAACCAAAGTTCAGGTGACTTCACTGAGACGTGCCGTGTAATCATTTAAAGATTCAGCGTTCATCTTTTAAGGGCGTCTGCTGAAAGTAATTGAATGACACGTTTTGTTGAGTGTACAATCAGCTGATTTGATCTTTTTGATCTCGGAATGAGCCGCCATGTTTCTTCTGTAGCCCAGAAGAGACAAACCAGTCGCTGCCTCTCGTTAGCAGCATCCACGTGTGGGCCACCGAGTCCTGCACGCTGGCCCTTTGAGAGTAGAATAACGAATTATTCTATCGAATATTCAGGGGTGTGTGATGGCTTTCCTCTAGTGATGATGGCCGGCGTTACTGGAAAAACAAGTAGATTCCAATATCTTTTAGTGTTAATAAAATGCAGACAATTCCTTTTCTTTTTGTTTTTTAGTATCCGCTTTGCATCTTTCAGCGCTGAGTCCTTAATCGCTGTTTTAGTCCACAAGGGTGTTGTTACAATCTTCATGTTTTCTCCCCTCACTCCATGCAGGATGCTGTCGGAGGCAGAGATTGAAGCCCATCTGATCGCCATCGCAGAAAGGGAGTGAACCTCTGACCCAGGTTCATCAACGCCTTCCATTGCTTCGTTTAGGCCATTTTAGCAGCAACGTGCTAAAGACATCCGTACACAGCGGTGGATCCAGGGAGATTAATCATGCACACTCGGAGAAGAAACTCAGATTTTAATATACCTTATCAGTTTGGGCAATTAGAAGCCAATTTTTTCCAATTGGGCCTTTTCAAAACCCCAATATACAGAAATAATAAAGCAATGTTTCAATTTTAGCGCTCACAACCATGTTTCGTAGACAACACAAGCAACACATTCTACCCAAATATACTCGTTTGAAATACGAAGATTTGTGGATCCGATTTATTACCTGCTGTTATTTGAATGTGTACAGAATATTTGTCATACAGCTTATTTACTGTACGTTTTCTTACGGCAGCCTTGTCAATCTCCCCACTTGCAATAAAAACATCCATCAGAGTCATTGTCAGCCCCTTTAAAACTAAAGTTATAATAAAATAGAACTGGAAAGAAGCACTCTCCTGTTCTGGTTTAAATACAATATAGTGAGTAGTTGTAAAACTGTAGCACCAAAATAGGCTTTATTTCCCGGCTTGATGAATATCCCGGTGAAACAGCGGCCCCCTTGTTGAACAGCAGGGGGCGTCAGTGGGGGGACTTTGCTGCCTTGAGGCCGGTAGAAGGTCGGTCCATTCATCTGAAGACGGGACTCAATCCACAGTTTATTCCCTAAAACTACGTTGTGAATCTGAAAAAGCGAGTCGACGGGGGGCCGAGCAGAGCAGCGTGATCTCTCAGGAATAAATACAACCCAACACTGGTACGAAGTGAGATGAGCATCACAGAAGCAGATGCGTCCACTTATTCTAGCGGAAACGATATCAATGGTACAATTGTCGCATACTTTCATGATTTAGATGTCGCGGAAAAGCTTTCACTGCATCCATTCTTCCATCCGCAGATGATGCTGAGGTGCCTCACGCCACCTGTAGATGGCAGCGTCGCGTCTGCTGCAGCGCCTTGACTCATTTAAGAACAATTCGGTTTAGTTCTGCGTGTACTTTTCTATTTGGGGAAAACCTATTTTGACTTGCAAACAGCTACACGTCTAAGTCTTCGGGGTTGTCGTGTGTCGGATGTTACGTGTGTGTGTGTTTGTTTCAGTGACCCACCTGAATCTGTGGATGCGGATCAGCGTCCTGCTCAATTACCAAATGTCACTTGCAATGCGGATGCAAAAGCATTTCTGGTTGTACGCATATTCACACAAAACTGTCGATGCAGATAATACATTTATTTTGCTTTATTACAAGGAGAAGGTGACACATTAAGGGGGTAAAAAAGCTTTGGAATTACAGAATTTGATCTGACAGATAAAAAAGAAACCCTTTTTTTACACAGTGACATAACATGATTACACTATATTTCTACATTTACCACCAACGAAACCTTATTTTATTCTCACTTACCTGCAAGGGATTATTTGAATGACAGTTCTCAAATAACTTCTCTATGCATTTGTGACAGGGGAGGTAAATCTGACATTTGGATCTGACAAGGATTTAGTGCTTAATTTCGGCTTCCTGCACACTTCTTATCTGAGTGAGATAACACCCACGTAGGCATGGGGCAGTTCTGCAGGTGTGGCGTCCAAATCACAGAATGATCCTCATTTTCAAGAGAAGGAACAAAGCCGTAGGATCATCATCAAAGATCACCGCTCCGTTGAACAGTGGATGCTCACTTTGTTGGCAGACACAATTAGGACTTATGCTGAGAGGCTTGTGTTGCTGAGCAGCAAAGCGCGCCGCTAGTCTCCTTAAAGTTGCATTGATAGGCCTCTTTGCTTAATTCTGTGTCCACTTTTAACTCACTGGGCCTTTCTTGTGTCAACGCCCGTGAGAGACACATTGATGTGAATCAATTATGTGCACTTATGCACGCGGAGACAAAGGCGTTTTGGTGAAAAGGCCTTTGGAACACCATGAAGAGAGATTTAGTGTTCCGGATTCACATCTCATGTTTGTCTCTTCGTCCTCATGTCTGGCGACGCGTCCACACGATGACCTGCAAGAAAAACCACAACAGAGAAAAAAAGAGAATCCCCGTTAGCATCGTCTGTGCAATAAGAGCAGAAAAAAGGAACACGGAAGAGCGAGAAGCAGACGGTTCAGAGTTGTGTCATGTAAGCTGCATGTAAGCTGCAGCAATCACTGCGCCGTGTCATCAAGTGCATGTTGGGGAGGGGGCGTCCTACATGTGTAAATAGTTTAAATCAGTGATTCTCAACTGGTGGGTCGCGACCACCGTTTTTTAATGCGTCGCGCCGGCCTTTGCCTGGGAAAATAAAAAATTACAATTAACAAACTTTTTGTTTTTGTGTCGGCATACGTATTCTGTCTCCACACTATCTCAGGTTCAACGCAGTCAGTCTCCATTTACTAAACGTTGGGACCTTTTTGCTCAGTTTTTGGTCTCAAAAGCTTTTGGTGCTGTCGCTTCATTCTCCACTATATCGTCCAGCAGCTAATCGCTAACACTTGCTAACTGTCTGTTTGCACAGCTTCCGAAAAATTGTCACAAACTTTTCCTTTTCCTGCGGCTCCACCTGCTCTCGCTTCACCTCGGCCAGCACCACCTCCTCCTCCTCCTTCTCCTCCTCATCCTACTTCCTCCCCCTGCATCACCCCCTTTCCTCCCTCCCCTGATAACAAAAATGCTGACCCTGTGGCTGGTGTCGCCTGGTACCGGGTCCGCCTGCCCCGCTGAATGGGCCCGCGGCATCGGGTAGCCAGGTTCTGTGTGTGTGTGTGTGTGCTGGGTCACGGCGTGCGGATTAGGTGTGTGTGAGTGATTGAGGGTGACAGCGGCGCTAGCATTAGGGGCCGCGGCAGATTTCGTGGGCCTGTTTTAGACACACTAAGCTGGATTTGCCAGCAGCAGTGTGTCAGCAGTGATGCAGCCCGCCTGGGCCGCCGACAGAACACACACACACTCACACACACACAGGCCCACAAGCACATACATGCGCACGCGCACATTGAGCCACGTCACCCCTGACCTTTCTACCTGCGAGCGGTTTGAAGTCCCATCATCCCTTTCGCTCTCTGTACGTTTCTTCTGTCCATCATTCACCAGAAACGTATAAAAATGCTGCATTATTTCTAGTTCCCTTTGGTGTCTTTAGGTACAATGGACTCTGGGGTGCACACAGACTACTGCAGCATGCAGCATGCACTATGCAACCCCCCCACCCTCCTGAATCCCAAAAGAAACATCAGGGCCCAGTCAGTGAAGACCTCGGATGGACAACGCTGGATCGATTCCGTTAACGGCCGGCAAAGCAGATCAAAACTTCCTTTTGAGAACTTTCATGTGAATCTTCACTGCGAAAAGGTCTGAACATTGTGGGTCGAGTCGAGTAAAATTAAATCTCTCCTTCAGGTTCGCACTGTATAGTGAAATACTCAGAAAATACCAGCATATTGGCAGCATATTGAGAGTGTGGTCGCGTAGACGTCCTTAACGCGTGCTTTTCTTTTCTTTTTCAGATGGCTCTCAGATGTTTCCTCTCCCCGGGTGTTAGTTTTTGGGCCTTGCGGATAAAGGAAATGCAGCTGAACGTAAGAGCGGGGACCCCGTTTCAGTCTCCCCTCGAGCAGCTCCATCTGACCGGTGTTTCCTCCGCAGCGGATCCCTCCCGCGCTGCTGCATACGTGTGGTCACTTTGTGTGTGTCAACGCAGAGGGTACGCGAGGCCACCGTGACCCCGGATGGCTGCACACACACACGTACCGACGCTCGGTGCTTTGTGTGCACCTTTGTCCGTGTGTGTGTGTGTGTGTGTGTGTGTGCGCCCGCTCTCCTAGATCTCTGTTACAGCCCGTCCATTGTGGAGGAGAGTGTTGAGCAAGATCCTGACCCACCGGCGAGGACTAATCAGACGCATTCCTCGGGATTAAACGGCCAATTAACAATAAGGGAGCCATTGTGGCCCCTTCCCCTTGTGCGTCACGGTTAAAAGGTTTTGTGTGTGTGTGTGTTACGTGTTGCAGCGAGCGCGTGTGTGCAAGGTGCTTTTTTTGGCCGTTCCAAAAAGCACTTGTTGTGGGTTTCACACCAACGTGCACGCCACGGCTGCACGGAAAAAAGAAGCACTTTTTAAAAACGGCGTGCATTTAAAACAACCTGACAGGGACGTAATAGACTGAGAGAAGGAGGATTATGCCAAATAGTGTCTGCAAGTCACAAGATGTGCGTGCGTTTGACACAGGGCTCCTCATGATGCAAGTTAATCCCGGGTCTGTTCGGGCAGCGGCCCACCTGGCCTCCTCCGCATAGCCATGCAAACAAAAAGGGATTCATGTTCTATTCCGTCTATTTGTGCTTTTCACGTGCATAAATGTGTGCATGCATAGTGTCTTCATCAACCGTGCGTGTGTGTCTGTATGTATGTGTGTGTGTGTGTATACAATATGCATCAGTGTGGCACGTGTCGGAGTGTGGCGGAGGATTAGTGATGCTCAGGCCCTGTTGCTCCACTTCCAAGCTTCCTACTGGCTACTGCCATACGGGAGATGGGGGGGCAGGTGGGGGCGGGTGGTGGTGGGTGGCTCGTCAAAGGTTGGCGGGGCGGTGGGTTTTGGATGTGTGTCTGGGGGGGCAACTGCACCACGCCATACGCGCACACACACACACAAAATATTTTACAAAGCAGCGCATGTGAAGCCACTCATTGATGCACGTAGAGCTTTGTTTTAAAAAGGGCAAAGTGGGGGGGCGGTGGGTTTTGGATGTGTGTCTGGGGGGGCAACTGCACCACGCCATACGCGCACACACACACACAAAATATTTTACAAAGCAGCGCATGTGAAGCCACTCATTGATGCACGTAGAGCTTTGTTTTAAAAAGTTCAAAGTGTGTCACTTTGTGTGTGTGTGTCACTTTGTGTGTGTGTGTGTGTGTGTGTGTGTGTGTGTGTGTGCGCGCTGCACCGTGTCCACCTGCCTGCCTGGACGCTGAATAAAATAAATTGACCTTTTCATTATTTAACAAACCCCTTTGCATTTTATATTTGAACTGTATTAATGTATTTATTTGGTTTGAAATCAGTGGTTTTGAATTGACTCATAAAATATTTTTATATTTTCTTATGAATTCTAACAATATAGAAGTATTAATTAACCAATAACAATTATTTGACTTTACAGAAAGGTTCCCTCGAGGAATACAAACTCATTGCTGCTATACGTTGGATTTGAAATAAATAAGTGATGCGAGAAACCAAAGATGCTCTATGAGTTATAATAAAACATTGCACATACATCTTAATTACAAGTGTATGAGTATGAAGGCGTGAACAGGTGTTAACTTGCTTAAACCCCAGACAGGGGTCCAGGAGGGGGCTAAATGATGACAGTGAACACACACAGACACGCACGCACACACACACACACACACACCACCTGCTGCTGTCTGCAGTGGATTAGAGGTCTGTCTGCTCAGAAGACAGCAGGACACACACATCCACCCAGCGGGGGGGTTGGAGGTGGGGGGTCCCCGTCTGTGAAACTGATCGAGATGCCGAGGCCAGACGGGCACTGACACGACGCGAGGCCGCCCGTGGAGTGAGAAACATCTCATCTGAGTCTCCGTCATCTCCGTCATCCACGCTGGCCACCAGCTTTTCCATTCTACACCTTCTTCTACAGCCGAGGACCTCGGGGGGTTTGACTGACGCGACCGGTTTGCTGGTCGTTCTAAGTCGGTTGTTCCTGACGAGAACCGGGAGTCTTGACAGAAGCTGGGAGTGTGTAATTTAAAAGATGCATTGAGTGAAACGTGTTTGAGAGCTTTGTTCACACTAAATTATGTCTTTAGAGCGTCAATGGGAAATAGAAAATGAGGAAAATTGTTTCAACTTAACGAACATTTACTTCACTGTTTAATTATCAATTCACGACTCACTGGGAAAACAGGGAGAAAAAGCATAACAAGTAATTTGTGCAAATCTCTGCAATGTGTGCATGTCAAATGTTTACTCCTGCAAATTATAAACATGCAGTATTTCCGTTCTGTATTCACTGTTAATGCAAAATGAACCATGTGTGTAACTAAACTAAACTAAACCAGTATGAATATCTATGCATATTGCTGGGACAATTATTTGTTCATCATATAAACGACGACAGTTTATCTCTGGCCGACACACACACACACACACACAGAGACACACACGCATGCTCCTGCACACACACACACACACACACACACACACACGTGCAAGCAGTGATGGCATGTAGTGCCACTGACAGCAGGGCGTTTTAAGGTAACCTGTGTGGGACCTTCATCTCTTTGTGTCAGATTGAAGAGGAGTTCTCAGTGCAGAGGGACACATGGTGGACCCAAAGTAATCCTCACATCACATTAATGACTCTGACCTTGATGCACGCACGCACGCACACACGCACGCACGCACACACACACACACACACGCTATGAGCACAGACCACAGTGGTAATAGCACAATCATTTTAAACAGAATCGCCCCGATCTCTGTTGTAAAATATGCAATAAGTCAATCTAACAAATGGAGACAAAACTCCAAGAGAGAGACCTTTTTAAAACTCTGCCCCAATGCCCCTCCCATCCCCCCCCCCCCCCCCCACAAACACACGTTCCCATCTGCCTCTCTCCCCCTCACTTCTTCCACTTTTCTCTGTTTTATCGTCCCACTCCGCATCTTGTCCCCTTCCTTCCATCCCGTCCTCAACTTCCAACACAGTGACAGCGCGTCCCCGCTGCAGGTCCCTCGCACACACACGCACACACGCACACGCACAAACACACACAGACGCCTCTGTCAGCGGCGCTCCTTCCCCCGCCCCCCCCCCCCTCAACGCTCCTCCGTTACCTTATCAATAGCGATCGATCCGAGGCCGAGGAGCCGCTCCCGGTGCCGCGCTCGGTTCTGTCCGTCCAGCCTTCCTCTGTCAATCTGGCCACAAACCCCTCTTTCCTCCCTTTATCCCGAGGTAAGATACTTACTTTTCAGATAAAGCATATTATGATAAATCGGCTGAACTCTGCGCGTGTGCGCGTGTGTGGGTAGCTGTCACACGGACACACAAAACACCGTTGGCACGCAGTGTGCACGCGCGGACAGAAACACTGTGTGTGTGTTTACTTCTGTATCGAATAACGTGATGTCAGAGGTACTTAACAGCTGGAAACGTGTTAATGTATGTGTGTGTGTGTGTGTGTGTGTGTGTGTGTGTGTGTGTGTGTGTGTGTGTGTGTGTGTGTGTGTGTGTGTGTGTGTGTGTGTGTGCGCGCGTGCAGATTTGGGTATTGCGGCTTGGTTTATGTTGTGTCACAATCATTCCATAGTGGTCCTCAAATGATTAGAGGTTTCACATCACAAAAGTCGGTTTACCACCGAGGAGGATTCTGGGAATTCTTTCATCACTCTCTTTTCCATGCAATTAAATTTAGGCCCAACGAAAAAGGGCCCACATGGCTTCATCAACCAATGAGTCAGACTTCGTCTCTGCTTCAATTCAAAGCCACTCAGCTGGTTTTTAAAGAAAACAAGCGGATAGACATTAGGAAGACGTGGGGGGAGGGTCGGTTCCCTGTTTCTTCTTCTGCTCCCCGCTTTAAGTTTGAGAACAAATGGGCTCTGCTCTCGCCTCTTGCTGATATAAGCGCCCGCCCGATGAAGAAGAGCGGAAGCATATGGGCCGATGTTCTCCACAAACGAGAGAATAAGTTGAGGTCAACAAGGAAAACAAAAAGAGTTTGAGAAAATGAAAACTTAATGAAAAAACAGGGGCTGGTGTTTGCCTTTGAGACGTGCGTGCTTGTTTCAAAATGAGATATTTATGAAAATACTGTGTGTGTGTGTGTGTGTGTGTGTGTGTGTGTGTTGTGTGTGTGTGTGTGTGTGTGTGTGTGTGTGTGTGTGTGTGTGTGTGTGTTGTGCGTGTGTGTGTGTGGGAGTATAGATTAGATGGACTAAGCCTCTTATGTGCTGGTTGCCCTTAATTTGTGTCAGCTCCCGGGTCCTAGTGCGTCCATCTTCCGCCTCACATGTCATGCAACAATCAAACACATTCATGCATAAGGGAAATAATATAAAGTACTTATAAGCTAAACATTAAGCTTTTATGACTAAACAAAAAGAAACGAGTGGAAATCATTTCTAAAATGGAAAGCAATGCTGTTAAACTGTTTCATAAATAAATTGATACATTTCTGTTTCATGAAAAACTACGAAGGCGGAGTTGCAGGTTGCATTTTTGGCAATTTGATATAAATTAAGGATGAAACAAATCATTGAACTCAGAATGTATCCGTCATTGGGATCATTGCAAAGGGAAATTAAAGGTTCAAGTAACTTAGTTAAGTGTACAGCGGGCCTTAAATCTACTAGGAATCACGTTAATGAAGAACAAGAAACTTGTTATTCAAAATGCAAGTTCAATAACTTCAAGTTGTGAACAGCCAGCATCACTCACTTTAGAAATTCAAACTATTTACAATGAACTATCATTTTCAAGTTTCAGAGCCGTGGAGATCTTTTTTAAATTGGTGCACCAATACTTTGTATAATGCAACAACAATAAGATCCTCCCGCGTTATTTTCTACTCAACACAATGGGGATAAATACTACAAGTGTGTTTGTGTCGTGTTTCTTTGTATTTTATTCCGGGAGGACGGATATTAAATGAAGCTAATTGATCCCCCAGCTACACGTTCAAATCTGCTCATTTGATTAGTCGAATCGTTTCGTCGCCTCAAAACATTTAAAGTGCATGAAAAACGAGGTTTCAATATGCAGAATAGATTTAGTCAAAAGGAGACGATTTAAAATGCATCAGTCTGCGCGAGGCAGGTGCGCGAAGTCTGCTCGTGCACGACTGTGGGCGCGGCGTCGCGCGCTCGAGCCTCTCTCTCTCTCTTTCTCTCTCTCTCTCCCCCCCTATATCTCTCTCTCTCTCTCTCTTTCTGTCAATTGGAGGTCTGCAGACATTCTTGTCCTCGGACTCCCCACGGTTAGCTCGAGTGGGCGGCTCAAGCTGCTCCAAACAAGCAAACAAAATCAAACAAACAGACAAACAAACGAACAAACAAACACGTACCTGGATGTGAGCAGGCGAGGCGTCCACGGGAGACGGAGGTTATCCAGACGCCACACGCACAAACACACTCTCTCTCTCACACACACACACACACACACACACACACACACACACACACACACACACACACACACTCTCACCTCAGCAAGCGAAGACACATTTTATTCGCGATTTAGAAACGTTGAAACACGCCGGTAAAGTCTCTCTGTCGCTCTGTGTGTGTCTTTATATCTCCGCTTTGGCTTTACAGAGCTGGATAAACCCCTTATACAGTTTGGGCTGTACTACGTGGGTCTGTGTGTGTGTGTGTGTGTGTGTGTGTGTGTGTGAGCGCGTGTGTGTGTGGAATTTAAACTATAAGAAATCCGATTCAATTAACAAGCGCAGAGAATCGGCTTTGGACACTGTGAAATTGTCTGTGAGCGCAGGACGGCACAGGACGGACGAGCACGGAGAGGAGACGCGTCCCCGGACAGCGGAAGCACACCAGGCGTCCGGGGCCATTATTTAGGGATGTAACGAAATCAGAATATGTAAATGACTAAAGAATCAATCAAATCAATTGTTTAACGTGTTATTTGAAATATGAAACACTTCCACCAGAAGTTTTTCATCAAACATGTGAATTCATTAAAAAAAACCGTTATGTAAATCAACCATTCCCACATGATACAAGGCAGAGCATTAAGATTATTATTATTATTATTGACTGTATATAGTGAATGAACGAATGAATGGGCCGGAGGGAGCATGTTGGGGATCAGAAGGGGATTTAAAAAGCAGAACAACGTGGTCTTTGTGCGGCATCTAATCCGGCCCGTACCCCCTTCTCCGCCTTTGGGTCGCTCTCTGCCTCCACACGCCTAATTACTTATAATGAAAATGGTTCGTAAAAAAAGTCCACCTGGAGCAGACTCCATAAACATCAATACGGTCTCTTTTGGGTTATTTTACCAGCGTAGATTCACCATAAACTTGCCAATGAACCAGAACAAACACCTCTCTTAATTTCCCCTTTAAAGGGAATTTATAGTTTATTGAAATACATCTTAACCCTCCTAATTGACTTCACCAACAGGTGTCACTTGCCGCGTCACGTTCCCGACGTTTTAACGAATTTTAAAATAGGCAAATCAAATAAACTCATGATCCGCATGAACACATGATGACGGACTACATGAGCGCGCTAGAGGGAGAGGGAGAGGGAGAGAGAGAGAGAGAGAGAGAGAGAGAGAGAGAGAGAGAGAGAGAGAGAGAGAGAGAGAGGAGGGCTCTGGGTGGCTACTTGAAGTTACTTCTAATTAGCCAGCCTCTTCTTGCCCGCCTCACTTGTCCCTTGTGCAGATCCAGATCCTCTCCTCAGGGACCAGGTGCCTCCAAGGGGCCGATCCGCTCTGCAGCAAACCCGCCAGACCGCAACCAGGCGTCCGGGCTGTTGTGGAACTTCTGATTTTTTTTGGGGTACCTATTACTTGGCAACTTCGGTGCGCACTGCAATTACGCACGACTTGGATGAAGAATCTGCATCACGGCAGTGGGGTTTTTTTTGTTGATGAAAAGTATAGGTAGCCTGTGTCATTTTTAATTTGGCGTTTGCCATAATATCGTTTGGCTTGATTTGAGTTGTTGTTTTGTTTATAATGTGGATTGAGGAGGCATGAAGTACACAGCCAGTATATTTTACGCACAGGTGTAAAGGTCACATCTACAGGTAGAAGTGCAGGTGTGTGGTTCAGCAGCTCTGTCAGAGAACAAAGGAAGGTCAAGGCCAGCAAGGAAAACATAAAACAACAACTTAGTGACAAAGAACCCTAAGAAAAAAAGAGAGGGAGGGAGGTAGCGAGAGGGTGTGTGTGTGTGAGAGAGAGAGAGAGAGAGAGAGAGAGAGAGAGAGAGAGAGAGAGAGAGAGAGAGAGACACCCCCTCGAGACTAGCTAAGAGACCCAGCCCCCGGTCCGAGAGAAGGAGAGAGAGAGTGAGGGAGTGAGGGAGTGTTTTAAAGCCAGCAGGAGGCATGATGTCGTACATTAAGCAACCCCATTACGCGGTGAACGGGTTAACGCTGTCCGGCCCGGGCATGGATCTGCTCCACTCCGCCGTCGGATACCCCAGTAAGTATCTTATACTTTCATTTCAAGTAACTTAAACCTGTGCTTGATTGTAGTTTTAATTTATTTTAAAACTACTTTATTAATTGTTTTTTTTTTTAATGTAGTTATTGAGATGATTGATTTTGCCGTTTGCGTAAAATGTTCTTGAAAAAAAGACATTTTTGCTTATTTGCTCGTTATCTAAAAATGCATCTGCGCTGTTTATCCTGTATGAGCATGAATACACGCGCGACTCTTCAGTCATCGGAACATGTGTTCACTTGACCTATAAATTGCGCGGATTATAGAGTCAAAAACAATAAGAAACGTGTGTGAATGGAAACGCAGCCTCTTCTCACACCGACTTAACACCGAAATAGACTCCAATCTGTTGCTCTTATCATGTAACCTATTTACAAAAGGGTGCCCATTGTATTTTGTTTTGTGCCATTGTGATGGCTTGTTGTCTCCATAAGTGAACACTTATCATATTGTTCGGATGGGTTATGTTTCCCGATCAGCATCTGTCATCGTTCAGAGAGTTTGAATGAAACGATGCCGATGTTTGCCACGGATGACAGAAGGCGGGATACAAATCTTTAAATACGGGATGCAAAGCTCGGCCTTCTTGTCACAGATTAGAGTTGAAACCATTCTTTTCTCATTCGGAATGCATGCTTAGTGACTTTCGTTTCTTCAGTTTGTGTAGTTCCATTCAAACCTGCCTCATTTAAGATTACACCATTTAAAAAAATCGACTTGATGAATAAATAATAGCTCAACATTTTCCGATGTGTGACAAAAAGGTCAGAAGAAATAAAGCGACCGCAATTTTAAAAAACACATTTTGAGTAGGATAATGTCGAAACCATACTAACGAAACACTCTACAGCATTTGACAAAATGTTTAATCTATCCATTTGAGAGAATAATTGATTTTATTCACAAGCAAAATAGTTGGGATTAAATTTTGAGACCCAAATTGGGACCCAAATTATGATTTGAGGGATTTTTATACCCTGATTTATATCAGATTCTGGTGCTAAAATATATTTATGTATTGAATAAATGAAATAAAAGAACACACAAAATGCGTTTTGTGTTAAAAATAATAAAATAAAAAAACAAAGCTAGGAAAATTATAAAAACAACATTGATCGTAATTATAAAAAACATAATAGTGGTGATTTATTTCCCTTCTCCTCTTTTTAGACACTCCGCGTAAACAGCGTCGGGAGCGCACCACCTTCACACGCGCACAGCTGGACATCCTGGAAGCTCTGTTTGCCAAAACACGCTACCCAGACATCTTCATGAGGGAGGAGGTGGCCCTCAAGATCAACCTGCCCGAGTCCCGAGTCCAGGTAACTCATTTAATCACAAGCATGAAAAGAATTATCAAAGAATCCTCCGTCTGACTTTTGCATTGCGCCTTAATTCGCGCCGTAACTCATCGAGAAAAAGACATAAACGTGTCATGGATCTAATTGGGATGGCGATTGTGTAACTGATGCACCTCTTCCTTCCTCCAGGTCTGGTTCAAGAACCGCCGAGCCAAGTGCCGCCAGCAGCAGCAGCAGAGCACGGGCCAGTCCAAACCACGCCCCCCCAAAAAGAAGGCATCGCCCGCTCGGGACGCCAACTCCGAGGCCAATGCCAACCCCGTCAATGGACCCTACAGCCCTCCGCCCCCTCCTCCCGGCACCGCCATCAACCCAAGCTCCAGCGCTGCTAGTGCCACGGTGTCCATCTGGAGCCCGGCCTCCATCTCCCCGCTGCCGGACCCCCTGTCCGCCTCCACCACCCCCTGCATGCAGCGTGCATCCGCCTACCCCATGACCTACACCCAGGCTCCGGCCTACAGCCAGAGCTACGGGGGCTCCTCCTCCTACTTCACGGGCCTGGACTGCAGCTCCTACCTGTCCCCCATGCACCCGCAGCTGTCGGGCACCGGAGGCGCCCTGAGCCCCATCACGGCCTCCTCGATGGGGGGCCCCCTCAGCCAGTCCCCTGCCTCGCTCTCCTCCCAGGGCTACACGGCCGCCTCGCTGGGCTTCGGAGCCGTCGACTGTCTAGACTACAAGGACCAAGCTGCCTGGAAGCTCAATTTCAATGCCACTGACTGTCTGGACTACAAAGACCAGAACTCCTGGAAGTTCCAGGTCTTGTAAATGACAAGTAGGAGGTGGTGGAGGGAAGGATTGGGGTGGTTGGGGGAGGGGGGGGGGGCAGTGAGGGGGTCAGAATTGCAAAAATTGGTGTGTTTGTAGATGAAGGAGATCAATCGCATCAGCTGAAGAACTCATCAGCTGAAGTTGGAGCTTCACTTGGGTCTTCATGCTGTTTCACAAAAAAATTCTGTGTGGAAGTGAACTGATGCTTGTCTTGGAAAGATGACAGTTACGTACATCTGTACAATAATATCTAATCAGAGAGAAAAGAACAACAGCTTTACTTGTGTAGCTCGGTGGCGTTCAAGTTGTTGTGATTTAAATGCACCGCTGATGCGATCATGCACAACAAAGGTGCATCCCTTTGATTGACAAATCAGTAGTTTGGGGGTCAGAAGCTGCTCCAGCGGCCTCCACGTGGACCAGCAGAGCTTCCACACAACAGGTTTTAGATCAGCCACTAAAATGTGACTTTTAAAAAGCACACGAACCAATCAGAGCCCATGATTATTTCTTCCTCCTTAACTTGTATCCTGCTCACTTAAACAGCTTTGGAGCCCCAAAAAACGGAACTCAACCCACCAGGAGCGTGACATCTCCTCGAGGGAGGCCGATGTTTAACCGACATGTGAGAAACGCTTTAGCAGACAGAAGCCGATGATTCCCAGTACCCTTGTGTGATATCGCCGCCCCTCTGCGACCTCCGTGGGGGACTTCTTAGGGGAAGTGTGTCTTTGTGGGGAGAGGTGGGGGGGGGGGTCACTGGAGTGACTGCAGTACAAACCTGTTGCCTTTGAGCATGGTTGAAATCATTAGCAGAACGGCTCGTGCATTGTTAGTTTTAATAGGATAACTTTCCGGACAATCGGTGCAACAATGGTCGCATTGTATACTTGCATACCCCCCCCCCTCCCCCCCATCAATCCCCCCACAAGGAGGACCCAGAGAAAGAGAAAGGACTTCCTTTGCACAGAGAGTTTTGGTGCCTCTCTCCGTTGCGGCACCTGTAAACACGTGAGGGGTACCGCTGTATGTGTTTGATGTATCGTTTGATTTATTTTTTTGTATTAGACTTTAACAATATTATGTTTCTTTAAAAAAAAATAATTGTGAATTCGTTGAAGTAAAAAATTGTGGTAATTTGTTTTGAAGTTGATATTATTATCAGTATTATTACTATCATCATTAATTTTTATGTCTTCAGCTGACATGGACGTTGCTAATATACTTTTTTGTTGTTGTTCTTTTGTAAATATTAAACTTGAAAATGCAATCACGTCTGGTATCAGCAGCGAGTTGCTACGCAGGCGCTCCGCCCAACAGATTCTCCCTTTTTCATAATTTCTAGAAAACTGCCTAAGTTTTATTTTCTCAGTTTATATTTCTTCTGGTTTCTTCTTTTTCTTCTTCATCTTTTTTTTTTTTTTCAAACTCAGGGGTTTATCCAATTAAAGTAGCAGTATTAGGACACAATGCTGTTTATGCTTCTTAATCATTGTGCTTTTGTTTTTTCTTTTGCATTTACTATACTCTTCTCTGCTTATTTTTCTGACATGAATTATTTTGTATATTTCACTTGTCTCCTCTGTTTCGGACAGTCTCACCACTACCATGCTGGATGATGTTTCTGAGACATTAAACGACTTCATTAAAACTCTGCGGTCATTGTGTTCTGTGGGGAGGGGAGGATGGGGGGAGGGGGGGACGCAGTTTTTAATATCCAAAAAGTTTGAAAAGTCACAAATACAAAACCTAACATGGTGGTTTTGGCGCCTCAACCTAAACTTTGGTTTTCACAGTGAAGTCGTCACAGATTGGTTTCCCTGTAGCCAAACGCAATACATTGAGATCAGTGAGACTGGTATGTCTCCCCAGAGGATGCACCCTGCTGATTTTCCCTCTGGCACCCTCATCAGGTCATTAAGATTTTTGACTATTTTACCTGAAAAGTGAGCAACATTGACATTTGGGCATCTGCACCATGTGTCCAGCGCTAATTAGCAAGTGCTAACACGCTAATTTAGATAGTGAGCATGGAAAACGTCAAAACGTCACAGTGGCGTTGTCGTGGAAGTGATTCATTAATATCCAACAAAATCATTTTGTATTGAGCTGTTTGACGCATAACTTGTGTTTAGTGGTTACGACACCTCCGTCGTTATTTCCTCCCACAAAGAAAACCTTTGCATTGTATGTGTTGCTTTTTGTAACTTTCCGTTGTGAGAAACCACACAAACAACTGAGTGCATGTATGTGTGGCACGGCAGCGTTAGCTGGTGCTGCTGTAATCTTTCTTTGGGATCGTGGTCATAACTGCAGCTTTTTTGTCGCGTCACTATATTTTGTCACGTCTTGGCTGTAAACTGATGTCCTGCAGGTCTAAAAGGGACGACGGGGTCCGGCCCGCTCAGACCGATACGTAGAGTAATACCGATCACTGCTACACCGCCGTCCGCACTACTCGCCTTGGCCGGTGGCGGCACCTCTGCCTGCCAAGTAACAGCGAGTGTCCGGCGACGGGATTTAGCCCAAGAACCCGGAGACAAGGCCCACATGTGGGAAACAGGGTTTACAAAGTTTTGTTGAAACTGATGCTCAAGTCAGCAAGAGCAGATAGTTAGACGTACGGACAGATAGATGTACATCAGGATGGACGGATGAGCAGATACATGGATGGACCCCCTCCTGTGCTCTGCAGACGGTGTGCTCCTGTAATCCCCCCTCAGCAGCATATGGACTCGGAAGCACAGAGACACAGACACAGATACACTCAGGACTTAGAAATATGATTCATTTCTTTCCTCCCTCTAATCCCCAACAAACAAGCTGGTGGCCGGCCTGCTCTGGAGGAACACTGTAATCACGCCACAGCCGACCGGACTCCCCTTCCTCCCCTCTTCTTCCCCTTCCTCCCTGCTGCCCGCGGTCCATTTGCCTCTTAATCGATTCCTAATCCCAACGCCGGCAAGCATGCACGCTCCGAGCACACGCTCAAACTCACCCACACACACACACACACGCGCACACAGATACGGGTACATTTATGATCAAACAAGGATTCGGACAAAAGAAAACAAAGATAAACTGTAGTGTTTTTATTTTTGTGGTTTTGGGGTTTGGATAAAATGAAAAAAGAGAAATCCATGATGAGACAGAGTTGAACTCGGATTATTTCGGAGTGTTGTATAAGAAGTCAAACCAGTCAATAAAAAGAGACCATTTGTGCATTAAAACCTCTTCCTCAAGTTGTGTCTGTCCAATAGTGACACAGAAAATACAATTCTAATTATTATATAATTAAATCATATATCATATTTCAATCTTATAACAAAAACAAAAAAAATGATGTAAAGCAAATCTTTATTTTCCTGTATTCTTGCACAATTGTCTGTTGAAACATGATTGTCCCTCGAAGTTGCTTTTTCCCCGCTGATTTGACACATTAAAGTCTGTTTAGGTTTGAAGTCCAATAAAGTGATGTCACTTGAGTCATTGTTGGAGTTAGTGACCTTACCAGATATCCAAGGGCCACTTCTCATTTCCGCTCAAGACTTGTACTGCATCATAACACACTTGTTCTGCAGCATTGATTCTTCTCCTTTAAAAAAAACAAACCAGTATGGTCCCTTGTGAGTTTGTTAATGTTAGCAAAGTGCAATCCCAAACCAGTGAAGGACTTTATAACACATTCATGCCATGTAGCTAATTCAAAATCAAATGGAACTGGAATTTAAGTTTCAAAATCATCAACCTTGGAAATGTGATCAATGCACCTCTTATTTGAAAGAGTGGTTCTTTTTGACCAAATCATTAGTTTCCGTCTCATTAAGACAAGTCACATTAGTATCAAATGAACATTTGAATTTGTCCTGATAAATCAAGTCTAGTCTTTTTTATGACACGCAAACAAGTCACTAAATAAGGTTTGCGGTGTAGTAATGCTGCTAAATCAAACGGCGGCGCAGAGTAAGTAGGTGTGAGTGATCTGCAGCTATGGTAACAGGATCAGTATTACAGTATGAATGGATCAACCAGCCACTGTCAACCTCAGCATACACTTCTGCTGAGGGCTTTACCGCAGATTACAACTTAACACCTAGTTAATATCACTAATAATAAAAGTCAGAGTTTCAGAAGCGCAGATTAACGACATGTTGAACTAAAACCGTTTGTCGGATTATGGGAGAGCTCTGCGTTGAATATGAAATACAAACGTGAAGCCGGTTGGAGCATCGGTAAGCTGCACTCTTCACCTTTGAGCTGCTCGTGGCGATGGAAGCCTTGCTCAAGGGCCCTGAGTGTAGAGTGTAGAGAGTGTAGAGTCAGATGGTACAGGAGGAGCGAGCAGCGTGTACTTTATCCTGTATTCTCTCTTCTCTCCTTCCTCCATGCCACCTTCCCTCATTCACCCCTTCCTCCATCCCACCTTCCCTCATTGACCCCTTCCTCCATCCCACCTTCCCTCATTGACCCCTTGCCACCTTCCCTCATCGACCCCTTCCTCCATCCCACCTTCCCTCATTGACCCCTACCTTCATCCCACCTTCCCTCATTCACCCCTTCCTCCATCCCACCTTCCCTCATTGACCCCTTCCTCCATCCCACCTTCCCTTATTGACCCTTACCTTCATCCCACCTTCCCTCATTCACCCCTTCCTCCATCCCACCTTCCCTCATTGACCCCTTCCTCCATCCCACCTTCCCTCATTGACCCCTTCCTCCATCCCACCTTCCCTCATTGACCCCTTGCCACCTTCCCTCATCGACCCCTTCCTCCATCCCACCTTCCCTCATTGACCCCTACCTTCATCCCACCTTCCCTCATTGACCCCTTCTTCCATCCCACCTTCCCTCATTGACCCCTTCTTCCATCCAACCTTTCCTCATTCACCCCTTCTTCCATCCCACCTTCCCTCATTCACCCCTTGCCACCTTCCCTCATCGACCCCTTCCTCCATCCCACCTTCCCTCATTGACCCCTACCTTCATCCCACCTTCCCTCATTCACCCCTTCCTCCATCCCACCTTCCCTCATTGACCCCTTCC